TTGCTAGTGTAGCTATTACATTTTCTATTCTGGCAGTCATTAGTGAGGGTTTTTTATCAGAAAGAAATCTAATTTCATCATATTTGAGACACAAGAGAATAGTTTAATCAAATACCAATCATATGTGTGATAGGCAAGTTTTGGTGATGTAATTTAAAAACTTCATGAAATTAATTAGCTTATCACTAAGTTTTAAGACTGCCAGAAATGCGTATCCATGCTGAGTCTGGTTGGAACCAATGTTGAACATTATTTGCTAATATATGTTTTATTAGCCAGATTTTATGCATCGGACTCAAGGATTATGTACATAAAGTGTAAAAATAAAGCCTATTGGTAACCAGAGTTCTCTCAATGAAAAAAATATCGGCCATACTCTTATAGCATAATTGTTTCATTTCAAATATTATTCATGAGAGTAAAGTCGATTGAATATAATATAAGTTTGAATGAAAATGCGCATTAATATACTTTCACAATCAATTACTTTAGTTCTAAAATAACTATGTATGCAATCAGCATAGATTAAATTACTTCTGGTAATCTAGGTTAAATAAAAAAAATCATTAATATTAGATAACATGTATTAGAAAAAAAATATTAATTATTTTATCAATTCTGAAAATCAAAACAAAATTTTGTAAAAAGTTTTATGACATATACACTCCTAGTGCATATCAAATACCCTTTACAAAATTTTCCTTATTTACATAAAAGTAAAGTACATTACTTTTTAATGTCTCCATTCTGTTTCGGCTTAAGGTATCTAGTGTTAGTTGGATTACTTGGTTTAGGAATATTACTATCAAAAAGAACTTACATCAAAATATTGTCTTAATTATAAGAAGTATAAAAATAAATTCAGGTACAAAAATCAACTATTTCTAATAAATTAAATATTTATTATTCAATGACTAGTTTCAGCAAATTATTTTAAAGAAACTGTTTATTTATATAATCAAGCTCTTAACATATGTAATGATTTGCCCAACTTTTTATTTCTCCTCCCTAAATAACATTAAGAAAGTAAATAAAATTATTTTCATTTTGTTAAATTCAAAATGAAAACCATTAAAAACAGTAACTAGTGAATAAAGATAAATCCCGAAAATAACAATGTAATTAAATATCAAATCTAAAACGAAAGCCAAATATCTTGATTAGCTGCTTTGAAATAAGTTACTATAGTGAAACAATAAACACAAACTAAATTGAAAAATGTTTTAAGTTTAGATATGCTATTTAATTATATTTATAAATGAAATCATTCAATTCTTAAATAAAACTTTAGATTAAGGCTTTCTATTTTATTTAATCATTAATTTAAAGATAAAAAATTTGAACACAAGTTAAACTGTATACAGTTTAATAAAATATTAGCTATCCAGGTTCAAAACTTGGTTCCAGAACTATGAATATTTAGTAGTCATGTAATATTAAAATTTTACAACTAAGATATTTAGAATAATGTTTGATTTGTATTGAAAAAAAAAGGTATATGATATTTTTAAGGGGTCAGACTACTTTAAAAACAAAAGCTATGATCAAAGTTCGCTACCTTCATGACAATTAAATAAATTAAACAATAAAACATTCTAATCTAATCAACAAAAAGTAGTGATAATAAATGCACAACTATCTAGAACTAAAAGAAAAGAATGTATGTAAAATTTAAAAATTGCAAATGCTGATTTTATATATGTATATATTGTTTTTTCATACTTTCCATAATGTTGTAAGCCATTTGTATATTTTCTATAGATTGCAAAGCTTTGATTATAAGCACTACCTCATACTATTAATACCTGAAGTAGTTTTTATATAAATGCAGTAGGTATTCCCATTGAGTAACATTTTTCATTTAAAAAAGTAACAGAAGTCTCCAGATTTTTTCATAGTCTGAAAGTTCATGCTTCATGATCGTATGCAAGAAACTAGTCAAAAAATAATATTAAAAAATATTTACTTTTCATACTTTTTTTTTTTTTTGGAGTACAGAAGATCAATTTCTTCAAGCAAAGTGGCAAATATTTAAACCAACTCATGAAACACTTTGTACTTAATTTTACATTTGGTCAATTTACTACAAAGCACTAATATCACAATCATAATACATACATCAACTGTTTATAACACCAACTGATCTTTATAGTACATAGTTTAATTGAGAGAAAAAAGGACAGAGGAAAATAAAAGCTTACACATTTAACTTGAGCCCTTTGATGAGTAATAAACTCAGTTGGCTAGAAGATAACTATTTAATACCATGTTAAAAAATGATAAATTTACTTGACAAGAGATCAAAGGCACAAATAAGTTTACACACATTTTTAAACTTGAATTTTCATTTAAATAACTTAAAGCCAACAAAAATATTTTAAGAAACAATCAATGGAATGTCCATTTACATTACCATTCAAAACATTCTCATCTCATAAATGTTAAATATTAACCAAGCCAAATGAAATTTTGAAAACATATTAAATAGTTCAAAAACCTTTTAGGTATGCTTCAGGGATTTAACTATAACATCACAGCCTCAAGAAATTGGTTGTTTTTTCTTAGGGTTTATAAAACATTCATTGATGTTCAATTCTGATGAAAGGTAGCTAAACCAAAAGATTCATTTATCAAAAAGCAATAAAATATGATATGTTCCAGTAAGTACAGTTGAAACAATTATACATCAAACTGTGTCAAAAGACAGGTTGTGAAATTATTATGCATAATCTGATAAAATAAAATTATACAGAGAAATATAATTTTTATTATTCCCTGTTCACAAAATCTATCACATCTCAACATTATTCCGATTAAATATCCGAAATCCTGAAACAAATATCAGAACAATGGAAAAAAAATCAGTAAACAACTGGAAGGAAGAGTGACATTTATATTCTATTAAAAAATAATAAATGTTGCAAACAGAAGTCAATTTCAAGTATAATACTCTTTGTGCTATGGCTGATACAATTAATGGAAAAGTAAACATGCCATCCAAATAAATATTAAATATAGTGCTAATAAATAAAATCATTGAATATAAACAGTTTTAATAAATTCTTAAAAAATATACTTTTAATAAATAGTTAAAACCTGTTTCACGAATTATAGTTAAATTAAGATTTTTTTAGCCTTGGAAATCATAATATTGACTTTAAAATAAATTGATTTTATTTAGAATATCTGAATGTGGCCACACATTTTTAATTGATTGAACATTAGTTAATAACAAATAAAAATAGAGAAATATTTAACCATTTAAGGAAGACTTTTAACTACTGACACCCTGTTAGCATCGTATTAAAAAAATATCAATTTTACAGAAATTCCTTTTACAAGCTGCTTATTTGAATAATCATATTAAGAGCAGCGGCTAGGCCACCACAACCTATAAAACTAATGTGGTCTTAATCTCTTCAACATATGAATACAAATTATATGGAAAATAGTTTATATATAATAAACATATTGAACATCATCTTCCTAGATTTATTGAACACATCCAATCCTAGTTTTCATTTTTTTATTTTAATTTTTAAATTTAACGCACAATAGGCTTAATATACAAGTATAAAAATATATCTTTGATATAACTATATATAGATATACATATATACCATTTACTTATTTAGTCGAGACAAGGAAATTAAATCCATAACAACTTTACGAAATACTTAAATCAGAAGCACAGAATTATTATCAAATAAATTTGTACATTAAGTGGTATATATATATATATATATATATATATATATATATATATATATATATATATATATATATATATATTTAAACATTAAATGATCAAATACTCTCATTAACATTTCTCTTAATAGACTGATGGCATAATATTATGTGAGAATCATTTTGGTACAAACACACACTCATACACACACTCACAAACAAAAAAAAATAACAATTTAATTGAAGACGAACATTGAGCACCTCTTTAAAAATTATACAGTAATTATCACAATATAAAATAGTTGAAAGAGCCCAATAAACACATACCTAATATTGATGATGGTTTATAAAATTAAAACAAACAAAACAAAAGCATCAATAATAACAAGCTAGATGTTAAATGTTGGATTAATTAAAATAATATTTTTAAAATACCAAAACAAAACAAGATTATTTAAATGATGCACATGAATATAAAAACAGAATGACTAAGGACAGCTTAAGATCCATAACATTTATTTTACTTTATTAATTTTAACAAGAAAAATGAAAAAAGAGAAAAATATGGTAAACACTAATTAAAAGTTGGATAAGATGCTACGTGATACATGATTTTTTTTTTAACCAACAAATCACAGACTTAATGCCATTATAAATAATTCTCTACTGTAATAATCTAAGAATAACATATTATTAAAATAATAAAATAAAACATTATTAATTTGGATTATTCAGAAGATAAATAAACACCAAATCATTATTTACTAAATACTATAATTAACGCGATTCTAAAAATATATTAATCTTACACAACCCATATCTTTTTCACCAGAATTTTAATGAATTGTGTGAAAAAATTAATATGCATGAATTCTGTAGCATTAAGGTTTAAATGAGCAAAATGAACTTAAGTATGTAAATATTTATAATGGCTTAAGAAAGTCAAAATACTATCAACTAATAAATTAACACCCCTGAATGAAATTATTTCAATGTCAAATTAACTAACTATAATTTGGGAATTCGTTTAACAAAGTATATTAATGAAACTGAAATCATAGTTAAAACATCCTTGCATAGAAATAATTTCAAGTCAAGGCTTTATTAATAGCATTTATTCATAAAAAAAACAAAACAATTAACTGCTTAATGATAAAACACAGTATTTAAAAATATTAAATTAAGAAAAAAATAAAAGAGAAAGGTTCTCTATTGATTTTACAATGTTGGACTTAGTGGATATATTAAATACATCTATGTTCGTTTGTATGTATATATGTGTGTTATATATATATATATATATATATATATATATATATATATATATATAGATATATAATGTATACATACCCCGCACAAAGATGTAGTATAAACATAAACTTGTTTTTAATAACTTTACATGAAAGACTAATACATTGAAGCTTTACACATAATGTAAAGCAATCATTAAAAATTAATTAGCAGTGAAATAACTGCAATTATGTACATTGAAATTTATTCAGAATGAATTCCATCAATATACATAACCTTCAATCACACAATTAAAATATGAATCATACATTTAAAACATGAGTCAGTTAAAAGTTTTAAGTACATCTGACACTAATACACATTCCTTCAAGAATATGAAGTGATTAAATTAAAATAATATTTTACAAAATATTATTAGAAGTCCACAATATTTTTCAATGATTTAACATAACGTCATAAAATGAGTTCTATATCTAAAAATAACACAAGGAACCTTTGCATGTAAAGAACTAAAGAGCAGTCATCTTAACCTTAACTATATTAATATACAAAAATACTTTTTCTCATGGTCATATAATAATATGCCCTCTAAGTTTACTAAATATGGCAGTTGTCAAACTGTATTTCTTGTAGTAGATATAATCCCCACTCTTTCGGCAAAATTACCCAGTAAAATACCTATACTACTGCTTTCAGATCCATCCTTAAATTTAAATCCAACTGTAGAGCAGTAACAGTTGTAAAAAAGACTACGAACCGATGAAAGCCTGTCTCGTCTCCTGAAACAATAACATTAATTTATATAGACAGCTAACATTATATTTTATACTAAGGAGCTAGGAATATCATCCATTTAAAATATTGAATTATGATTGAAACCAAATGCTTATATTATCTTTACCATTAGAGAAATATACGAATAATTTAAATTTTTCATTTAACTAACTGTTATTCACAACTAAGACGCGAATCTGAAGATCTAAATTTTCTATGGAATAGGTCCTAAAAACAAATATTTAGATCTAGAAAATATTTGTACCATTTATTAAAAATAGTATCTAGTATACAATAGTATTTGAAGATTTCAGATATTGTTAAACATGAAAAACATAAATGAACATGGTCAAACTAACTAGGAACATTAAACCATAATATTAACAAAAATTTAAATTTTAAGAATTAACATTATTTAATAACAAAAAGGACATGCTCATAAAAGAGCCCGTCTATTGATGGATTATTATTATTATTTTACAATGGCGCTACAACCCATGAGGAGTCAGGGCCTCCTGTAATGATTTCCAACAATTCTGTCTTCTTTGTGCCGCTGCTCTTCAGTTTCTTGTTCCCAGGATGAAGCAGGCGTCCGATGTCACACCATCCTGCCATCGCAGCCTCGGGCGTCCAACTCTTCTTTTGGCTTCGATCTTTTCATCCAGGATCTTTCAAGTTGGCTCCTCTGGACTCATTCTAGCCACATGACCAGTCCACCGGAGCCGTCCCATTTTTATAAAACGAATGATGTCCCTCCCTATCCTTGGTCATGGTCATTATTTCGTGGTTTGTTGTTCGTCTTCTCCAGGTGGGCCCCTCTGGATCATAGATTGGTCCCAAAATCCTCCAGAGCACCTTCCTTTCAAAGCGGCACAAGTCTTCCTCCAATGCCCTAGTCAGTGTCCACGCCTCTGCACCATAGGTGAGAACAGGCCTAATTAAGGTTTTGTACAGTCACGGCTTTGTTGTTTGGGAGATTACCCTGCTTTTAAGCTACAGGACTAGTCCAAAGTAACATCTGCTGACTGCCTGTATTCTGCGTTGCAGTTCAGCCCCCACTGCATTGTCGCTAGCAACTAGAGATCCCAGGTATATAAATTCATTCACAGTATCGAATGTGTATCTTTGAACTTGGATGCGTTCGGGTACTCTTTCTTATAGCATTAGTGCTCATGTATTTAGTCTTGGACTGATTAACTTGCAGCCCAAACCGTGCAGCTGCTGTCTCAAGGTTTAAGAAGGCTTCGCTCATGGCCGTAAAATTCCTACCTATGATATCAATACGATCAGCGTATCCAAGGAGCTGCACCGTGCTATAGAAAATCGTTCCATCAACCTGAATTTCTGGTTGCCTAATGGCTCCTTCTAGGGCAAAATTAAACAGTAGGCAGGCTAGCCCATCTCCCTGCCTTAAGCTCTTGCAGGTGGTGAAAGCATCCGATAACTCGCCCTCCGCTCGCACAAAGCACTGGACGGATGCCATTGTTCAACGAATCAAACATATCAGTCCTCTAGGGACACCCATTTCTAACATCATCCTGAACAGTTCCTCTCTCAGTACACTGTCATAAGCAGCCCGGAAATCAATGGATAGCTGGTATACAGGTGTTAAATCGCTTCCGTGAGATCAGTCCGGCTTTTTCTTTTCAGGATTCGCAGTGTTCATTGTTTTCCATGGATGGGTTACCAGCCCAACTCACAACCCCAACCTGGAGGACCAGTCTTGCTGAAGTTAATCCTTCTTCGAGCTGCAAGCAAGGCTCCCCTCTTGCTTCAACGCCTGAGATGGTATTGCAGCTACACTGACCTAAGACAGCCTTTCTTGTCACCCCATTCAGGTTACAGGAGGGTCGCTCTTCCTAGAGGAAAGAAGGGAAAGGGTTCTCTTTTAGTCACCTCTTACGGCACGCAGAGAATATGTTCTCCGGGGAAGGGAAATTCTAGGCCACATCCCTACAGGGCTTTATACACCCTATTATATATAGAAATAATAAATAAAAAGTATATGATTAAAACTATATAATTGATGAGAGAAAGTGCAGAACCGAGAATATTCCTTAGAAGCCAGCTGTGATGAAAGTTATTTTAATGAGGATGAGGGGTTGACGAATTAATTAATTAATTTTAAGTAGTCAGGCGAATACATCGAGATCCGAGGCCTGTCTGATTAGGATAACTTTATGTCTGTACTCTTCCCAGCGGCGAACCACATATATTTGATTTTCCCTGCGGCTCTCTTCTGCCAGGTAGGCCAATAGAGGTGTCTGTTCGTGGGAATCATCTCTTTACTCAGGTAAATCCGGTGGCAGTCATTCTCCTGCCAACCGATATCTGGCATGGAAAGTCACTCCTAATTTTTCTTTTCGCTATTAATTTGTCTCTGACTGACTGCCTGACGAAGCGTGCAGTGACAGGTCATCTTTCCTGCTTCTGTGGTGATGCAACGTGTCCAGGTCTTCTGCACTAACCCTAATCCCCAAGCTTGCACCAATACAGGACATCAGAGCAGCGGGTGTTTTGCCAGCTCGTTCCTGTATTCCATGAATCTCTAGTGATGTACTTAAGAGACCCTGTTCGGCATTATTCAGACGAACTTCTAAATTGCCCATTCAGGATTTGAGGACTTTATTTTGCAAGATAATTCCTTCAAAATGTTTAGTTTGACGTTCGAGATATTTTTCAATCTTTGATAGCCTTCTAATAAGTTCAAAACTGAACTCCCCTTATTTATAAAGGGCTGTTTTTATGTTGGTAATAAACTCCTTTATTACTTATATAAAACTTAAAATGTAGATTCTAGGTGATTTACTGCCACCAGTATCTCAGAGGCAGAAGGCACAGTGTTTATTTTTTTTTTGCCCTGATCACAATTAATACAAACACATGTTTTTTAAAATGCTTTAGGGCATCAATTTTTGTCAGTTAGGTTGTTGAAACATCTACCCTGAAAAATTATTTTACATTTTGCACATTGGATATTGTTCTTGTCTTCACATGTGATAATACTATTGCAAATATTACACTGCACCATTTTTAATTTATTAATGAATAATAACTTGAAATTATAATGTAAATAAATATCAGGAGACAATTGGTGTGATGAAAGCAGTAAACAGTGTTTCATGTTTGTAGGAAGTAATGTTTGCATAATTTCTTGAAAATATTATCTCAAAATTCAGAAAAACCCTTATAATTTCTAGAGTCAATTGTAACTTTATTAATGTCCCTTTCATTAACAATAAAAATATGGTGTAATTTAAAAAAAAAAATTATAATGAATAATTTACTTTTTTATTAATAGTATAAAAAACAGAAACAGAGATTTAGTAATAGGGAGGAACATTTTTCATTTTATTTCAGAAAGTGAACATCAAGAATTCTCCACATGATGTGTTCTTGTATACTTTAAATACAGTAGTTGAACATCTTTTGTCCATATTTTTGATTTAACCAACATTTTAAAAATGTTTTGAAGAAAACATGGAACAGAAAAATACATGATTTTGTAATTAACTATACAACAGAACAAACAACACTGAGATGTGTTAATAAAATTGTTACTTCATCGATGTACTTTTAGGTACTTAAATTTAAAGCTGTAAGAATAGAGAATTGTCTAAAATTAAATAAACTTTAAAAATAAAACAATAACAATAAAATTGCCATTTTTTAACAAATGCAAGAATGGATATATTGGCAGTATATTATTTGTTTTTTGCCCAGTCAAATTAGCATGAAAAAAAAGGCCTACCTTGCAAAAGATCGAGTAATTTAAAATTCTTTTTTATATTGTTAGGTATGTAGTGAATATAAAAAAAAGCCTAGTGGGTTCACTGCAGTGCTCCAAAAACCATTGAAATTTCGAACTTATAATAGTTTATGCTAAATATCTCCTTTTTAAAGCGAGATAGATAAGGAACGGTTATATTTTATCTTAAACAACTTTAAAGTATCTGACATTTTTTTCTAAACTCAACACGAAACTAACTACCGACTTTCAAAATGTGTAAAGTTTTGAAAATTCACAAAAAACATGACTTTTTTTTGTTTTTAACTAATTCTCTGTTTTTATAGGTGACTTAGCTCAAATTTTTAAATTAAATATTAAATCACACACAATTTACTACAGCTTTTATAGGAAACATATTTTTCTAAACCTCACAACTTAAATACAAATTGTTAAAAAGAAATTAATGTTTTGAAATTCGAAAAAAATCCTAATAATTTAATTTTTACTGTTTTCTACTTATTTTAATCAGAATGGTTAACAACAATTACTGTTTTTCTTGCTACGTTTAATGCCACATCATTCAGTACTCATAAATGGCATAATTACGTTTTTAGTACATTATTTTAATTGTATTAATGAACAAATATTAATACAATAATATAATTGCCCAAAATATTTTTTTTTTTTACTTTCTATATTTTTGTAGCACTATGACTTTGCTTTATGTTGCTTTGCTTTATTCTTGGGGCGTTTTTCACTATTGTGGGCTGTTTATTTACGAACAACTTGAAAAAATTGAATTTACCTTTTTTTTTATTGTAAAGGCCAATTATTTTTTAATATATTTTCAGGTTTTATTATTCTCTAACTATCCAGCTTTAATAAAAGGCCAATTATGATTAAATCAAGTCAAATCCTGAATCTCAGTTACTGAAAAACATAACTCAACTCAAAGACGTTAATCCACCATGTTGGATGGCTTGTTTTGTATTCACTACATACCTAACAATGTAAAAAAGAAATTAGAATTCCCTGAACTTTGAATTACATTTCTCTTCCTAAATTAGTGACTAATTTTTAAAATATTTGAAACGGTTCCTTAGAAAATGCACTTAATTGGCGGAAAAAGTGGTTCTGTAAGTTCCTACTGTCCTTTTCCTCAGTACACATAAATGGCATAGTGATAGGGCTATAATAATGTTTTTGGTATAGCTTCTGTTCGCTTATCTAATAGGTGTAGCCAAACTTTAAATCCAGTTATTAAATAAAGTAAAAAAACTATGTTTTCAATTAACATGATTCTTTATATTTTTTTTTTCTACTTTATTTAATAACTGTATTTAAAGTGTGGCTGCACATATTATTAGACAAATGAACAAAAGTTATATCAAAATGTTATTATATCCCTTAACTATGTCATTTATGAGTACAAAGGAAGAAGACAGTACTTCAGACATCTTTTGTTATTATAGGCCGTTTATTTATAAAGGATGCTTGATTTTCAACATTAGTTTCAACGAATAAATTGACTTTACCAGTATTTTTATTGCCTAAACCAATTATTTTTTAATATTTTTTTTATATTGTATTATTCTCTGGCTATATACCTTTAATGAAATGCCAATTATGACAAAATTAATCAAATGCTGAATCTCAGTGACCGAAAAACTCACTCAAGTCAAAGCCGTCAATTTGCCATGTTGGACGCGATTTTGGGACAATGGGTTCACTTTTTTTTGTAGGATCATTGGCTTTTTTAAATAAATAGTTGCAAGGAACATAACGATATGCAATTTATAGAGATGCGAGGGAAGTGCACGGTAGTGGGTCTGGCCCACTGTGTACCACTACTGAGGGTGAAGATACCAGGGACGAACAATCCTTGCCAAGATCCACCCGCACGTCCAAAGTGGATGAAAATGTGAATTCAAATAAAGTTGTAAGTGTAATATTAAGAAGTCATAGAGAACAGTGATAACAATGAGGTTTATGATTATGTATACTTCAAGTGACAAAAAGAATGAAATATTCATGAGACTTTTACTAACCGTAAAATACAATATTAAATTTTTGAAGTAACATGATTTTTTTCTATTTATTTTATAATTGGATTAAATGTAGTCACAAATATTATTAGACAAACGAAGTTGCGGGTCAAGAATATGATACAAACACCTTTTTTTGAAAAGGACATTATGAAATTATTTAAAATAGTTGTAACTGTAGACTGGTTGGACATTAATTTGCACATGTATACATCTTTTAATAGGAAATTTAACTCTCTACAACTTCTTTTAAATAAATTTCTTTATCACATCAATAGCTTAGACGATATGAAGGAATGTTTGATGAAAAACATGAGGCAAAATGTCATCTTTTCCCGAGCATGTAGCTCAAAAACGATGGTAAGAATTTGGATAAAACCTATAGAATAAAAGTTTTAGATAATTTTATAAACTTTAATTTATTATAAGAAAAATTTCTCCTGTGATACACAGTTGTCGAGATATAAGCGAAAATCCAAAAATTGTGACCTTTTCTCCCTCCCCCTCCCACGGCTCACCAACTAGACGTCAGGACTTTTGTCATACCCTAAGCACCCTGAACAAGTTTCTGAAGAAATTGCTTAGGTCCCTGCTCACACACTCTATATCTTCTTTTTTGTTGACTGGACTATTAGGGTTTTGTATACTTGTATGGCCCTCGTAATTGTAAATCCAGTTAGAAGTCAAAGGCAATCTGTGTGGTCAAGATTTATATTTCAAGATCAATTTCAGTTATCTAGTAGGGAGATCTCTTTAAAATATTGTGTATTTTACTAGTCCATGGGTAGATTCGGGCTTTGTTTTTATCGTTAGAAGCAATTAAGCATCTTATCATAATATTGATTAAAAAATCAGGCTGCTGCTAAAGCTTACTGGATCGTGGAAAGGTATAACACAAAAACTTACTGTATAAGTGAGTCTTGAGGAATTTTGTAAATAAAACTGTCATCTTCAATTATGGTTGTTGTTGAATCAGCTAATCCACAGTTATCATTCCTAAAATATCATTATATAATTAAATAATTGTCACTATGTATACCACTATAAATATACACACACAAATAAATAGAAGAGAGAAATTGTAAAACAATTGAATTCTGTTTTTAAAAGGCTGATAGTAAATTATTCTAAATTAGGTCAAATAAAATAAAGATTCTAATTAAAACTGAAAATTTAACAAACTTCAATAGCCACTGATGCTCATTTCTGATGATCTAAATAGTTTTACTTTCTTCATCAAAGCATAGCTGACTAAGCATAAAGTTAGAGATATTTATCAAATGATCATTTTCAGAAGTAAGACTATAGCCATGGGGGGCTATGACTTTCAATTAATTGATATAAACAACTGTTTATTGAAGATAAGTGTGATATTCATTGAAATTTCACGTACACATCAAGATTATTTATTCATCATTGTATTATAGCTTATTTTTCTAAAAAAAACAAGATGAAAACTGAGACTTGAGTCCTGTATCTTCATAAAGTTTCAATGACGGATCTGCCTAATTACTAACACCACTAGGTTGATGATTTTTATAAATGATAAATCACTGTGGAATGGACATAAGTTGCAGTGAACTATGTAGGGACTTACTCAGCCCAGTAAATTTAGAAGACTTTGCAAATTAATGCAAACAAGAGGTTATTAAAGACTGAATTGCTGAAGAAGATGAATTCTATATGAGATTTTGTAATTTTTATTTATTACGCTTATGCCTTTTGACTTTGAATTTTTGCCATAAGTCTTCTAGCAGCTTTCTAGGGCTGTTATAGGTGACAGCAGTGATTGTTTGATTCTTTTCTTCAAGATATCCAGGAAACTCGTGGTTTACTAAATCACAATTCACTCTCTCTTCATCAGCCACTTTCCTGAAGGATAGTTGGCAATCTTTTGCAGCAATTTCCACCCAGTTTTTTATCGAATAGAGGATTATCAGCCCTATACCCAACCCTAAACCTAGAGGACTAGAAGCTATAGTATAAGACACATGGGTCGCTCACCTCCCAGTGAATCTCTGTACGGGGATATTCACGTCCCCATGTGGAAATCAAACCCGCGCCGTAGTGGTCATCGCAATCGAGTAGGGCTTGCACTTATTAATTATTTTATTTTTTGTTATTAAACACAGATTTTGTAATGTGGAATATCAAGAAAAGGTCAGAACTGAATCTACAGTTAATTCGCCAACAACACAAATTTGACTGTTTTTCACAGGTAGAGTGGCATTATTAAGTAATAATTTATATATAATATAATAATTGAATAATATTAGATACTGGAACTATCCAGCAACACATGACCTATAATAAAGATTTCTGTTGAATATTTAATAGTTGACCGTTGCATTATAAAGGAAGGAGATGGTCCGGGATGGTGGTCATAAATAGGCTAAATAGTGGCAAAACTATTTTATTAAAAGCCAACGTTTCGACCTGACTTGACTAGGAGTTTCACTTAAAATTCAGTTAGGAACTCCTAGCTGAACACACCTCCCTGAAGAAGACCTGCAAAAGTCGGGTCGAAACATTGGCTTTCAATAAAATAGTTTTGCAATTATTTAGCCTATTTATGACCGCCACCCCGGACCATCTCCGTCCTTAATAAAGATTTCTTTTGTACAAATAAAAAATGTGATGATATTCAGAATGTAATTGAAGCATGATGGAGAACGGCTGCGAATCAGTGGTAAAGAAAAATAAATCGTCAGTAGCAAATATTGATTTGACTTTGAGCAACGTACTGTACATTCTACAGCTTAAGTTCAGCTTGGCCTGTAAAAATGTTATGCATATATATATGTATGTATAGATATAAAGGAACAGTTCGTATTCAGTTCATTTAGTTTGATAAGTATGTTAAAAAGGTATCAGTTAAAGGTTTCATTTTTTGCAAATAATTTAGACACATATATTGTGAAGTGAACAGTTGTATGGCATTTGTGTAAACCACAAAACCTCCGGTAAGAATTTTAGTTTAAAACAATAATATGATTGTAAATAAATAATAATAATAATTAATCAATTACTAAATTTATGTTGTTGTTCATCAAAATTGCCTGAAAAACACAAGAAAATGTAATAAAACTGTAAAATAAAACTCACATATTAGTCCTGGAGGGATGATTAGAATTCATATGATACCCACAAGAAGAATTAGAACCAGATCCCCTAAAACTACCAGTTCCAGTAACAAATTGCCAGCTAAGAATAAAAAAATAAAAAAAGAATTTCATTACAAAATTTTCCAAGATTACAGAAATATATTAACTTAATGAAATAAATTATTCATGTTAGGCAATGAATATTAAAACGCACCATGCATGAGCAAACTGTTTGGCCAGGGGCCACTCACGATTACGGGAATCCACACTAAGTTAGATTTATATTCATTTGGCTCAACATGACTGACTGTCAAGAGCAGAACCAGGCCCAAATTTAAAAATGGGTCAACTTTGGTTTTTGTGGAGTGGGAGAATAAAAAAAAAGTAACAAAAATTTTGAGAAATGTACAAAATAAATTTTTTTAACAAACAGTAATGACTTAATTTTAAAAAAAAATCACCTTTTTATTTGATTTTTAGTTATTCAAAATAATTCTTTTCACCTTGTGAATAACATTTTAGAATATTATGGTATGTTCTCAGGCCCAGGATTCACTAAAGAGTAAACTGGGTTCTTACTCAGAGTGTCGGATTTTGAGAAGTAATAGAATTTGAGGTGTGACGAAAATAGGACATGAAAATCTGAGAAATGGGATTAAGAGTAAGATTTTTAATACAATTGATTTATTAGTGATTTGATTTTCAAAGTGTCACATTATGCTTAACTCAGACATAGTCAAGGGAAAATACTGGTTAATAATAACTGTTGCAGAGTAATGTTTAAGAATTTGCAGTAAATGTTAAACAAAAGAATACTATTTTATTAACAAATTCCATGACAAATAGTAATAAACATTTATTAAATAAGAAAAGTGAGCACAACTAATCTGTGAACTAATTTTATTAACGTACTTTGAAACAGTAAATGTCTTGTTTTTGAAAATTGGTTACTTTAGATCAATTCTACATTGTTTTTATTTTAAATAAATGAAGAGTTTCATCTCATAAATTACCATAAAAAACAATTAGATAGTTCTGGTGGCAATTGAAAAATGTTGAAGAGTTTATAATGTTTACAAAAAAATCTTTAATGCTATCACATATAAATACATTTATTTACTATGTTTTATGTAAATGTTTTATTTACATTTTTTATGAAAACCTATTTTGAAAATTAATTTTTATTTAATGTAACAGTTTGACTAAGAACAATATAGCACTATACTAATCAATTTTACTGAGTGGGATTGGGTGAAATGGATTAGGAATTGATATATATATATATATATATATATATATATATAGATAGTCTAAATATAGAAATTGGAAAGAGATCAGACCATGCTGTTGACTGTTCTAGAGAAAAATATGATAATACGGCTTGATACTGCACATACAAGATAAAAAGAACAGCACTATACTTATCAATTTTACAGATTTAGATCAGTTAGATAGATTTGGATAATAGAGGAGGATCAAGGTATGTATAGAAATGCTGGGAACTGAAAAGGATCAGACCGGTTTGAAAGCTTTTGACAGCATAAACATGAACTGAGTACACCAAGCTACAGTAATACATCCAAGCTTTCCCACACAGTGAGTTTCAGATTAGTGCTGAACAATTTTATTTGTTGACTTGTTTGTATATGAAGGCCTTAAGAAAGAGAGCCATCTCAAATAATTTTTATCCATAAATAAATATTTTATTTATTTAATTTATCTTTTTTCATAAAAAATAACATTTCTGTGATTTACTTCTATATTTTGAAATTGTTTATTTTAGCTCAAATGATTCAAGTTTAGATTGAAAGGGAAAACCTAATTCCAGAGGAACAAGCGAGATTTCGGAAAGGAAGAGGCTGTGTTGAACAAATATTCACACTTATGTAAATCATCAATATAAATCTCCAAGTTAAAGGAAGCTAATGTTTATGCAACATTTTTAGATTTTAGAAAAGCGTTTGACTCCATCAACCATGAGCTTCTTTGGAAACAAATTTTTGATTTTGGTGGCTGTGGTAAGATTGTTAGATTGCTTAAAGCTTTGTATGACATGGCTACAATGCAAATAAAAATTGGCGACGAGGTGTCGGAGGCTTAGGATATTCGGAATCAATTGAATTGGCACAGATGAAATTTCTCAAACTCTTATATCTCTGTCCCAAAGCAACTCCTAATTACATAGTTAGATTGGAAACTGGTCGCTCACTGGTCTTGTAAGCTGTTTAAAAGAAAGCTATAAATTTCTGTATAAGACTGTCATCACTGCCGGACCACCGGCTTGCTCGAAAATGCTTGGAGAAACTGGTGGCTCTTGATGCTAGAGAGCCAAATCTGGATTTTAATTGGTTCTCACAACTTAAAAATATAGCCACTTCTAATTTTAGTTGAAGAATATTTTAGTCGTTTTTCTGATCTAGGAATACTTGTTGGAAACAATAATGCTATTTTAACAACTGTATCCAACAATTTATACTCCAGAGACATTGAACGTGGCTACAATTCAAATGACAGCCCTATGTACCAACGTATTTGTGGTTACAATTGCTCAGAACCCGAAAATTATTTAAAATTTATGATACCTCTAAGAAAGTTACGGAAGGTAAGTCATTTAAGAGTATCGGGTAGTGACCATCTAAAATTGCTTCATGGGAACATTACATCCGTTATAAATACAAACGTAGTCTGCAATTGGTGCGACCAACTTATCAATAACGGCTTAAAGCACTTGATACTGGAGTGTTTGTTTCTGGAGACAAATAGAAGGAAATACGTACATACACATATAGAGGCTGCCACAGATGATTTATCACTGGAGTGTGTGTTGGATATAAAAAATCTTGACCAGTTGAACAAAATATTTTATTTTATTATAAGTGTTTGTGACTCTATCAATACAAATACAAACCCTCAGCTTTAGGTCAGTCAGGCATGTCTTAATATGTCCGTGGGCGTACGTATATTTATTCACAATTTGGGTGCCTTTTAAATATTATTATTATTATTAATTGTAAAATTTTACATGTGCGTTGTAATCCTAAGATCTCGGCTATTTGCTTTGCTTGGTTGTGTTCTGCATAGTAAATTTTCTTTAGTATACATGTATTTTTATTCATTTATGATATTTATTATATAAATATATTTATATATAAATAGTAAAAATATTTGGAGTATAAAAATATTTATGATGTTTGTCATATAAAAATATTTTTGTTTTTGTCTTCTGTACTTATTTACTTATATTCATCTACTTATAAAACTAATCCCTACCAACACTAAATGGGCCAGACTCCATGGCTACAATGTATATTAAGCCAATAAAATGTTTCTATTCTAATTGTTTATTATTGCTTTTTTTTTATGTAAAAAAAAAAAATTTTTGTGATGAATTATTTCATTCCTTCATTCATGAAGGAACGAGTAATTATTATCAGCAAATGAAAATTTGATTTGGATATGCATACAGCCAGTAAAATGATAAAGAAACCTGTGGTACTATTGTGATACTCATGGCCCCCTTTCATACTTCTTATCTTCATTAAAAACTTTATACATACACTTTTGTTTTATCAAGACAATTATTAAATTTATAATAAATATCTACAGCTTACTCTTAAAGCAATGTAAGTCCATTTCACTAAAATAATAGTTGTCTAAATAACTCATTTACACTAATTTTCATACACTCATTTACTTAATAGCTATGATACCTGAAGTTATGTTTTAATAATAGTTTTTAATAGTCAATAGAAATAAAGCTTTTGTTCCCTTGGGTAAAACTTGATTTTAATGGAACAACAAGGTTTTGTATGTACGCTTTCCTTATTGTAATTTAAAACTTATGTAATTATGGAAACAGCTAATTAGTATTGAAATCGCATAATATTAGGATTAAATTTCAATTTATTGATATTATGAGAACTCTTATGTTGATAAATACAAATTTTCTAACCTGCCAGTGCTTAAAGAACTAGTCGATTCATTCCTGGTTCGAACATTTGCAGTTTTGGTTGGGACAGCAACTGGACTGGTTCTACTTCCCACACTTCTGGAATAAGAATTACTTGTCTTCATATCCTGACTCGAATTAGAACTTCTTTGGTCACTGCTTGAAGATGATGAGGTTTCAATGCTACTGTCAAAGTTCCCATTCATAAAAGTTTGACTATTAGGCGATGAATTATCAGAATGTTCAGTCGAAGCAGTAGAATGTAGAGAATCAGCTTTCAGGTTATCACAATAGCTCATATTACTAATGGTGGAGACATTGGAGGTAGATAAACTGGAAATAAAGTTACAATTATGATAAAAAGAACATAATTCAAAACTATTAATATTGGAAACTATGATGCTTTTAACTTCAATAATTTTAATTAAAATTAAGAAATCATAATATCAGCTGTCCTAAATCCACCATTTCCATGGGGGTATTGTGATCTCGTCCTGGTCGTGCCCCTGGAAAACCAACCAATCACATAGCCATCAGACGCCCAATGTTACCAAAAGCGACTCATGGCGCAGCCAGCACAAAGCCAGGCCAACGCAAACGGCCTTTCTCAAGGCCCTCACAACTTTACATTAAAGGCTCTTTTTTGGAATGCAGGTAGTCTCACCAGTGAAAAGTACACCGAGTTGAAGCATTTTGTAACTTCAAACAAAATTGATTTATTTTGCATTGTTGAGGCAGGCTCTGCAGCTGACAATCTGGAATACTTTAGGTTCCCAGATTTACTCACTGCCAAGGGCTAGGCAAATAGCATCGGGGATACTTGTTGGTGTAAGGTCTTCTTTCACGGATAAGTTCCAAGTTAAAAAGGAAATGGGTGCAAATGATAAATTGGAAGGCATGGAAATAAATCTATGGTCAAGCAATCTCCACCATAAAATATTTGTAATCTATAACCCACCAAATAATAAACTGAATTTTATTTGCCTGGAGAACTCTTTGACTGGTAGATTCCTTGTGTATGGAGACTTCAACGCACACTCCAGGCGATGGGGTTACGCAAACTTAAATTCAGTCGGACAAATTGTGGAGGAATTTATTGACACAAATAAGATAAAATTTGTGGAAAACGAAAGTACAAAGCCTACTTTTATGGATCATAAAGGTAACAGCACCCACCCTGATCTATTATTGGTGCACCCACGAATAGCTCGGCTGATCTCCCACAGTTGTCCCTCCACCTGGAGCATTTGGTCACAAAATAATGCTTGAAGACTTTAGTGGCCACTCAAAATTCAAGTAATAGTTCAGTACCTTGAATGCTCAGATGGAATTTAAAAAAGGCCAATTGGAAAAAGTTCTCCCAGCTCACTCATACAGCCATTACTCCTGAAACCACTACGGAGAGTGTAGACACAAGCGGTCTATTCCTCGGGATTTATGAAGAAATACACTCCATTCTGGAGTGATAATCTACAAAAATTAAAAGTACGAAAAGATGCAGAAAGGTCAAGAAAAATTGAAGACATTGTTAGGCTAAGACTAAGTTGAATATAATTCAAGCCTAACGAAAGGCTTTTAGAGAATATTTGGCTAGTCTGGACTTTTGACGAGATCGGATAAAAACATATAAATTCATCTCAAAGCTAAATAGTGGAAAAGATCCAATGAACAACCCTCTTAAGTTTAATAACAAGGAAATATTTTCTGGACTTGCCATAACAAGCTTTTGTAAATTCTTTGCCAGGGCCTCTAACTATAAACCAGCAGAAGAAAATAAGAGAATTAATACTGCACCACCAATCTTATGTTTTTACCTTTCTGAAACGCAACTCTTTGAAGACGACTTCACAAAGGAAGAGCTTGAACTTGCTCTGGCACAAACAAAGAAGGGAAAGCGGTGGCCCTGATGACATATTGCCAGAGTTCCTTATACACCTGGATGTGAAAGCTAAGCTCATAGTATTGGATTTTCTCAATGCTGTGCGGACGTCACGATATTCTTGTGCCTGGAGGAAGGCTGAGATGATTCCAATTCTCAAGAAATGCAAATGTTCCTCTTGTCCATCTAACTACCGACCTATCTCACTCACAAGAGTTTTTTCTAAGCTCTATGAGAGAATGGTCTTAGCCCGGTTGCAGATATATTTAGATAGGGAAAATAAGATATTGTCAAAGCAGGCTTCTGAAGGCACCGATGTACAACTGAGCAGGTGGCTCGTTTTAATGAGGATGTAAAAGATGGATTCCAACAGAAGCAACATACACTTGCAGTATATATTGATTTTAAAGCTGCTTTCGATAAAGTCTGCCGGAAAGTACTTCTGAAAAAGCTCCTCAAAATGAATATTAAGGAAAAATTTACAGAGCCATACGGTCCTTCTTTGTCCAGAGATTTCTTCTAGTAAGATACAATGGCTGGTTTTCAAGCTTCAGATCTTTTAGCCAGGGACTTCACCAAGGATATGTTTTCAGCCCCACACTCTTTAATATAATGATAGATGACTTAGTGGCTGTGCTCGAGGGAATACCCGGAATATCTGCTCAATTTTTTGCTGATGATCTAATAATATATGCAACTAGTAGCAACATAACAGCACTCGAAGCAGCAATTAATGAGGCAATGACAAGACTTTTTACCTGGACCATGTCAAATGAAATGGAAGTGAACACCCAGAAAACGGACTTTCAACTGTTCACGTTATCAACCAAAGTGCCCGAGTTGGAAATCATTTATAATAATGTTCCCTTGCCAAGAACCTATGCTGGCAAATACCTGGGAGTTAGGTTAGACACCAAAATGAATAGGAACAGGCAAATTGAAGATATGGTGAAAAATGGAGAAAACAGGCTTAAGCTTCTTAAACGCCTTGGAGGAAAGACATGGGGGGACACCCAGGATGTGATGGGTCTTGCATATAAAAACTATGTACGCCCAGTACTGGAATACGGTAGAGTAAAGTCATCTGTACTGCGGCTGATGCATCCCTGGAAAGACTGGACATCCAGCAGAACAAAGCAATGCGTTTAATTTTGGGCACACTGCATTTAACTCCTGTTGCAGCTATGGAACAGTAGAAACCCCTTTCGAAACGGGTTTACGTGAGCAAGCTGCAATGTGTCTTCACGAGCGAATGAGAAGAATGAACACAGACTTTTGGAAAAACACAAAATCCCAACTCAACGGCTCAAGACACAAGAATATTTCATGCTAAAGGCGAAGGCTTTGCTTGAAGAAAGAGGGATGGACTGTGAAGAAAGGGAGCCATTTATAAAGGCACAGTTCCCAATCCACAATCATGCAAGCAGGGTAGAGCTGTAACTCCTCCATAAGGTGGATAAAAAAAGAAACACCAGACTATGAGCTAAAAGCAATAGCACTAGAAACTATAGCTCAAAAGTAGCCTCCTCAGGATTGGCTTTACATTTATACCGATAGATCAGCTGAATCAGCCGTTGCTGCTGGAGCAGGGGTTTACTCGAGGAAGTTTCAGTTCACTACAGTGGGTGAGGATGGTAGGAATTTTGACAGTGAGATAGCAGCGATCCTCATAGCCATAAGAACACTATCAGGAAGGCAAGTTCAGAGCACTGTTCTCTTTGTCGACTCTCAAGCAGCAATCCTCGCTATTACTGACGTGAATAAATGTCTGTCATGTGTTATCTTGGAGCGCAAATCCCTCCTCTATGATCTAACACTCCGAGGCACTAATGTGGTCTTACAGTGGATTCCGAGCCATTGTGGTATTCCAGGAAATAAGGAAGCAGATAGTCTCACCAGGAAAGGAGCAGAATTTCCTCAAACAGTCCATCCAAAATGTTACGTTTCGATCCGATGAATGGCTAGGATGGTAGTGAAGGAGGAAACAAAAAATATCCACAAAGACAAGGTGGAAGGGAGACGTTATGGATGTTTGGTGGAAAACCCGATCCCAGCTGACCTACCCAAGAAGAGATGCAGTAGCCTGCTTCCGCCTGGTCACTGGTCAAGACTATCTACAAAGTCATCTCCACAAGATAGGCGTGGCTAAGGATCCTAGGTGTAAATTATGTGAACAAGCAAAAATGGATACAAACCACCTAGACAAATGTCCTGCTATGATGGACATAAGAAATGAAACATTTGTGAATGAATATATAAAAAAATCAAACTTATACTGGGCAGCAAGATGTCAGATGGTCGAATGACCAATGACCACGACATAGGAAAAAATATCCACCATTTCCCCAACTACCATCAGGTTTACTGACAGCACATAAACAAGGTCACTCACTGTCATGACAATTTAATAATGGCAGAATTTGTAACCATGAAAACAAGGCATAACTATCTGGGATTGATAAAAAGGACATGATTGCCAGACTAGTACCAAAACTAATACTGTAGTACAATACTACAGTACCTGCAGCATTCTAGGTAGGTGCTATTACCAATAGAAGGTAAGGCTTATTTTAAACTCAGTATTTCTTACATTATGACTTTGATTGTACTTCATTCCATTTCAAATATTATAATAAGTATAAAACAATCTAAAAACCACTTATGATTATAATGATAAGCGATTTCAAACACCATTTTTCTTTCAAGACATTTTTATTTAATAGTTTTCACTGATATAATATTAAAAACAATAAAGTGATAGCTATACCTTAATTCGTCTGGATGAAAATAAACAGGTGGAGCCTCCTGACATTTGCTACTAATAGAACTCCATGAAGAATTTAGGCTAACATTTGATTCTTGTGAACTTACAGGTGCATCAGGTTCTAAAAGGAGTCCCTCAAGCTGTATTTCTGAATCAGAGCGCTTGACAGATCCATTTTTTGGTTTTGTTTGTCCATTTGTAGGCAAATATCTGCAAAAAGTTAAATTATAATTATTTATATCTTTAAATAAGTAACTTCGATTAGTTTATTTTTCTAATTAAAATGAAGTTCTTTAATCCTTTAACACTCAGGGTCTTTAGTAAAAATTGTGCACATAATGTTTAATGGCCATTGAGAGCTGTATATTAATCTGAAACCTGAGTCATGTTATAGAATAGATAGTGGTCTATTTTATCAAGAAATTACTTCATAATATTAAACAGAAACAAAAACTGAAAATATCTGTTTTAGTTGCAGCCACAAGGATAAAAATCTGGTGCACAACACACCACTTTCACTTACCCCTCTACTTTGAATAGAAATTATTTTCTGGCAATGTTGGGCTATTATAAAAGTTTTGAAGTGCTTTTTAAATGGAGCTAAAGCTTAAGCTTACAGATAACAAATCATTAAGACCATTAAAATTACAAAAAGTCTGTTTATTATATTGACAGTGGGCAATAAAAATCTAGTTTTATAAACCACATAATTTCAGTCTCTGAGCCTTTCAGTTGACTAACTCCAACTTCAACATTTTTGAGTAATGTCTATAGTGAGTAATAGTGATATTTCTATTTGGAAAAGTTATATCTATACAGTGAACAAGTTGATTCCAGAGTAGGTGATTGCAATGTTAATATAGCATTTCCAAGTCAAATTCAACCTTTTCCAAGTCAAATTAAACTTTTTCCAAGTCAAATTCAACCTTTTCCATTTCAAATTCAACCTTTTTTTATTTATTTAATTATCTTTAATTTTTCGATGTGTGGGTCTGTTATCGTATGAGTAGTTTTTGAAAATAACCTCCTTTTTAAGATTACGTGACTGCGTTTCGAATTATTTAAGTTTTTTTGACTTATTCGATATAAGGGTGTATTTTTATGTTTCCCGATCAGTAAATTTTGAAAATGACATCCATTTTATGTTTACGCCACTGTGTTTTGATTTATTTAAGTTTTTAGAATTTATCCAATATAAAGGTCTACTTTTATGTTTCTTGAGCCGTAGATTTAGAAAATGACCTCCATTTTAAGATTAGGCCACTGTGTTTCGATTTATTTGAGTTTTTCAGATATTTTTCATATGAGGGTATTTTTATGTTTCCGGAGCTGTAGATTTTGAAAATGACCTCCATTTTAAGATTACGCCACTGCGTTTCGACTTATTTAAGTTTTTTTGATTTATTCGATGTAAGGGTGTATTTTTATGTTTCCGGAGCTGTAGATTTTGAAAATGATCTCCATTTTATGATTACGCCGCTGCATTTTGACTTATTTAAGTTTTTCGAATTTATCCAATATTAAGGTCTACTTTTATGTTTCTTGAGCCGTAGATTCTGAAAATGACCTCTATTTTATGATTACGCCAGTGCGTTTCAACTTATTTAAGTTTTAAGAATTTAACAAGTATAAAGGTCTAATTTTGTTTCTGGAGCAGTAGATTTACCCCCATTTTGTAAATGACCAGATTTCAAGTTTATGCCACTGTGTTTCGGATTATAAAAGTTTTTTTTTTTTTTACTTTTTCGGTATAAGGATCTACTTACATGTTATCCGAGAAGTATTGAAATTTATCTAATCTTTAATATTTAAATTTATCTAATATTTAAGCTCCATTTTATGATTAAGCCGCTGCATCTCGATTAATTAGGCTTCATTTTGGATTTTTTCAATACAAAGTTTCATCAATATGTACAAATTCATCGAGTATGAATAAATAAATATTATGAAGCTAAAGTTAAATTAACCACAGAATACAAACTAAAAAGCCGAAAAGCAATTGGTAATAAATTTAACCTTCCATATTCAGATTTTTCAGCTAATTGGTCGAAATCTTATAATTTTGTGACAGGGGACAACAACATTAAAAAAGATAACTAAAATTAAATTAAAAATGAGACAATACATATTTTATTTATTTTGATTAGATATTTTTATTTATTCATTGAAAAATAAATTAATCTTTCGTATTTTGTTTTTACTCAAAGGAAAAATCAAAAACACTTAAAAAAACCGAAACACAGCAACCTAATCTTAAAATGTAAGTCGTTTTAAAAACTAAGGCTCCGGCATCATAAAAGTAGACCTTAGACCTTTAAATTGGATAAATTCGAAAAACTTGAATAAGCCGAAACGCAGTGGCTTAATCTTAAAATGGAGGTAATTTTCAAAATCTACGACTCTGGAAACATAAAAATACACTCTTTTATGATAAAAATTCGAAACCCTTAAAGAAATCAAAATGCGGTAGTCTAATCTTAAAATGGAGGTCGTTTTCAAAATCTACGGCTCCGGAGACATAAGAATACACCCTCTTATGAAAAAAATCCGAAAAACTCAAATAAGTCGAAACGCGGTGGCCTAATCTTAAAATGGAGGTCGTTTTCAAAATCTACGGCTCCGGAAACATAAAAGTAGACCTTTATATTGGATAAATTCTAAAAACTTAAATAAGTCAAAACACAGTGGCGTAAACATAAAATGGATGTCATTTTCAAAATTTACTGATCGGGAAACATAAAAATACACCCTTATATCGAATAAGTCAAAAAAACTTAAATGATTCGAAACGCAGTGACGTAATCTTAAAATGGAGGTTATTTTCAAAATAGGTACAGGACAGCATAATACTAGTCCCTAATAAATCCGAATAGGTACAATAAATCGATATCCGTAAGTGAAAATTCTACTCAGGAGAGCATAATAATAGACTTTCATATTGGAGGGGGGGGAGGGGATGGCCATTATTTTTAAAAAATATATAAAATTTACAAAAAATTAAAACATTAATTTGAAATGAAAACGGTTGAATTTGATCTGGAAAAGGTTGAATTTGACTTGGAAATAATTGAATATGACATAGAAATATCACACTGAAAAAATATAAAATGTTAAAATAAATGGATATGCAACCGCGTTATCAAAATCTTTTTTGTATTTTTCAAAAGCTATGCCTTTGATAATATAGTAAGTGGCCTTCATTTCGAAAAAAATCGAAAATTGACTAAAATTCGAAAGTTGAATTTGAAATGGAAAAGGTTGAATTAAAGTTTACTAAAATGAAATTACGAGATTTTCATTCCTGCCATGGATAGGTCAAAAGTTGTCACATTAATTGGAAGTGGATAATGTTGGTATTTCACAAAGGGAGAATTCATCAAATTATTCACTAATTTAATTTTCTAAAAGGTCACATGAAGATGATATTTTGGAATAAACGGCCATTAGGTACCTAATTATTTAAATATAATATCATATCTAGAATTATTAAACTATAGCAAAGGTATTAAAGGTTATAACATATCCATGAAATATTTTTATATTTCACTACTTCTTTCACGTAAGTACAATTAAATAGTATTTTAAACACTGACACTGGCATGATTTGGTGGATTTTAAATACTTTTTTCAAAAGTAGAAAAAAATTTAAAAGTTTACATTTAATAAGATAAAAAAAATTCCTTTTAATTTAATTAGAAACATGTGATTTATGTTAAATAATGTTAGTTTTCTGAAATTATTATTTATATTTTTTTCGTCACTCTCCGTTAGCTTCTACAACTTTATTTATTTGATATTATTTTTTTTTTAAATTCTCTGCTTTCCAACAATATGTTATACGTATACCTTCTGACGGTTATTTCCGGAGATTAATTTTCAACCTAGATAAGCATTTTTCTTTATTTCTCCAGTTTCCAATTATCATATTCTTTCCAACTTCATATTTAGCCATTTTTTATAGTTACTGTCAATCAAAGACAGTTAATTTTTTTAATAAACCATATTAAATGTACTTTAGAGGAAGAAATATATGAACATTGGGCATTTAAGCCATGTAAAGAGACATCAATGGGGCTAAGACCTAAATGATATTAAACAATGATACACCGATTTTAATCAAAATCGTTACAGCTGTTTTTGAGAAAATTGTAAAAATGTGTTTCACCATTGAGTGCTCCAGATTAGCTGATTTTAAGGAAAAAGTTGCTGTAACATCTACAAGACATATACATATCTTTAATACATAATATCAGTTTTTGACCCAGACTTTACGTTTTTGAGACAATACATATTTTATTTATTTTGATTAGATATTTTTATTTATTCATTGAAAAATAAATTAATCTTTCGTATTTTGTTTTTTATTCGAAGGAAAAATCAAAAACACTTAACAAAACCGAAACACAGTGGCCTAATCTTAAAATGTAAGTCGTTTTAAAAACTAAGGTTCCGGCATCATAAAAGTAGACCTTTAAATTGGATAAATTCGAAAAACTTGAATAAGCCGAAACGCAGTGGCGTAATCTTAAAATGGGGGTCATTTTCAAAATCTACGACTCCGGAAACATAAGAATACACTCTTTTATGATAAAAATTCGAAACACTTAAAGAAATCGAAATGCGGTGGCCTAATCTTAAAATGGAGGTCGTTTTCAAAATCTACGGCTCCGCAAACATAAGAATACATCCTCATATGAAAAAAATCCGAAAAACTCAAATAAGTCGAAACGCGGTGGCCTAATCTTAAAATGGAGGTCATTTTCAAAATCAACAGCTCCGGAAACATAAAAATACACCCTTATATGAAAAATATCCGAAAAACTCAAATAAGTCGAAACGCGGTGGCCTAATCTTAAAATGAAGGTCGTTTTCAAAATCTACGGCTCCGGCAACATAAAAGTAGACCTTTATATTGGATAAATTCTAAAAACTTAAATAAGTCAAAACACAGTGGCGTAAACATAAAATGGATTTCATTTTCAAAATTTACTGATCTGCAAACATAAAAATACACCCACATATCGAATTTGTCAAAAAAACTTAAATGATTCGAAACGCAGTCACGTAATCTTAAAATGGAGGTTATTTTCAAAACTAGGTACAGGACAGCATAATACTAGTCCCTAAGAAATGCGAATAGGTACAATAAATCGATATCCGTAAGTGAAAATTCTACTTAGGAGAGCATAATAATAGACTTTCATATTGGAGGGGGGAGAGGATGGCCATTATTTTAAAAAAAATATATAAATTTACAAAAACTTAAAACATTAATTTGAAATGAAAACGGTTGAATTTGAATTGGAAAAGGTTTAATTTGAAATGGAAATGGTTGAATTGACTTGGAAAAAGTTTGATTTGATCTGGAAAAGGTTGAATTTGACTTGGAAAAGGTTGAATTTGACTTGGAAATAATTGAATATCACATAGAAATATCACACTGAAAAAATCTAAAATGTTAAAATAAATGGATATGCAACTGCGTAATCAAATTTTTTTTTTGTATTTTTTAAAAGCTATGCCGTCGATAATATAGTAAGTGGCCTTCATTTCGAAAAAAATCGAAGATTGACAAAAATTCTAAAGTTGAATTTGAAATGGAAAAGGTTGAATTTGACTTGGAAAAGGTTGAATTTGAAATGGAAAAGGTTTAATTTGACTTGGAAAAGGTTGAATTTGATTTGGAAAAGGTTGAAATTGACTTGGAAATGCTATATATTAAATTGAAATTAATAATTATTTTATCTCAGATGAGGGTTACTGACAATCAGATCAAAACACTCGACACAAACTATTATTATTTACAATATTTATACTAAAATTAAACACTGATTTTAAAATGAAGTCAAGCATGGATTGGCAAGCTGACCTTTTTTCTATATATACTGTTTCAAAATTATTTTAAAAATCTATACTGTTTCAAAATTATTATAAAAATCTCCAGTTTAATTAACAGAGTTTCAGGGAGGTAGATATCTTCATATTCTTCCATTATAAAAGAAATTAAATGTATGAAAATATTTATAAAAATTTTACTATTCAAAGAAAACATATATATTTTATTTCTCTATATAAAGAGATGTTATCACTTTTGACTTTCAGCGTGACATGTTGCACAAGAAAAAAGTTCTTCTGGACATTGTAGGCAATACATCACAACCTTTTTTATTTTATTTTTGGTTAATAGACCATCTATTATTTTTCCCCCAATCTACACAGCCTTTTCAGGAACCACCCACCATCAAAGTAATGTAAAACTAAAATTAGGCATTAAAGACCTAATTTTTTATTTAAATATAATAACTTTCATCATAATTTATGAATGATGAATTATTAGGCCTTTAATGCCTAATTTTTTATTTAAATATAATAACTTTCATCATAATTTACAAAACAAATGTTGGCCCATCTAAAAGTTCAAAATTTTGGCCTGGAGGTCTCATAGCATTTAAGATTTAAAGTTCTTAGTAAATACAAAACTAAATGAAGGGAGAGGGCGTGAAACTGACAAATTGGAAAACTTAATAATTGTCCTCATATTTAACTTAATGCAGGTATAAGAAAGATGCATGAAGATCCTTGATGTATAAAATAGAGAAGGCTGAGGTTTTGCTGGCAAGATCATGTGAAAAAATAATGGACTTGATAGAAAATAATATGTGACAATTGAACTCCTAAGATTTTATCGAAAATGAAAACATAGAAATCAAATAACTTTCTGAGTTAGCTGATTAGATATTTAAAAAAAAAAAAAAATAAAAATAAAATTAACAGTTAATTTAACTATTTTTAACACTATGAAATGCTAAATTATTAGCTAATCAAAATCATAGATTAATTATTTTATAAAAATATAACAGTAAAAATAAATCAATAAAATACTTTTATTACCTGTTCACACTAAATTCTTCACCGATGATATACTTCAAGAAATAGAAACAGAAAAAGAAGATCTCTTCTCCTTTACTTAGACGGTCAGCTAAATTATGTCCAAATAACATCCAGTCATATGCTATTGTAAAGTATAAAATTTGTGCAGGAGAAAGAGATTGGTGAATAGCTCCATCTGCCCACAGGGATAACCGTAAAAGTGAAATAAACAGCGGAGTACGATCCCAGCCACTAATGCAATGAATAAGAGTTCCAACTGGTTTTTCAACTAAGTATTGTAAAGCCAACCGCAAATAGTTTTGCGTTAATGTAATCAAATCCCAAATCTAAAAAAAAAAATATATATCTAAACCACAACTTATTTATGGGGAAAAAAATGAATTATTCAGATAATATTTACTTATATTAAGAGAATAATATATTTTAGAAGTAACTTATTAAAGAAAAAATTAAATAATTTATAAACAATTGATTATATATAACTCAACTGTGTGAAATCATTGTCTACAATAATATTATAATTGTAACTTATCGGCAACAATTCTAGAAGCTGATCAGTTTAACATTTAACACAGAAGTTGGAATATTCAAATCAGTAATTCTCCAATAGCAAATAAATATATATTGCATGCAATAATAATAATATATAAATTATCTCCAGATGCTGAAAAATACTGAAGTTTCCTTGAAAATAAAACAACAAGTAAGATGTGAATAAAAATTATCACCTTATAGTTTTCCCAATCTATTTTCAGTTGAGATGTAATCTTGTCATTAGGAATTCCAATAGTTGCATCTACATGGCCTTGAGACCAGTCAAAAACAAGTCCTTGAGCAACATAGTCATTGTCTCGATACTCCTTAAAAAATTCACATCCTGGATATGGAAGCGATATAATAGTAAAATCACTATATCTGTTCTCTTTATCAACTTTTTCAGAAGAACTAACACTAAAATAAAATGAAAAACAAAATTAATTTTCATTACTACTAAACTAAGAAATAAATAATCACTTAGGTTTGTTAAATATTTCCACAATTATTAAGAAATGAGCAGTTTCAAAATTCAATATTAAATTCATAAATAATATAGTAGATAGGTTTTAAAACATGTTATAAAAAGTAAGAGATTTGGGTATAAAAATGATTGTAATTTCTAACAATACAACCAGTAGGGCAGCCGGGAGAGAAATGTTGGGATTTCCTGGAGTCTTGCTTTGCCTTCCACATGTGAAGGACACAGCTTGGTTCGGAATTTCCTGGACGAATATAAATATTGCACCTAGGTATGAATGTGTTTAAGATGATTCATTTTATTTTTACTTAACTTGAATATTCTTTATCTATTACCAACTTATTTTGCAATTATAATTTATTTAATTTTATTTCTGAAGCACATATACTTTTTTCCTTTTATATTATTATTACTTATGTGTATACAGGGTGTCCTGTAAATAGATGAAACTTTTTATAGGAGTGACAGTACATAATACATAATAAGATAATGATTTTTAAAATATTTTCCTTACATGGTGTTTTTAAAATTGTATTTTTGTATTGTAAATTGTATCCCAGATTTATGCCATAGGCATTGATGCGTATTTATAGGTGACAAACTTAATATTTCTATCCCTTAATATTTACGTTTTTAAATAAATAATTGAAGTAATCTGCAAGTTTCTTTATTTTAAACCTAAATTTTAGTAAAAAACATTATGCTAATAAATACTCATCAATTTCTATGAAATAAATCTGGGAGAAAAATATAATTTCATAACCACCTTACATGAAAATTATTTGAAAAACATTATTTTTATGAATAAAATGTGTTTTGGGGCAATTATGTTTATTACAACTCATTCCCCATCACGGAAAAACAAGAAATAAAAGCTTTGACACAGTTAATTGTAGTCATTTATGCTGAAAATACGGGTACTTTTAGGTGACTGGATAGAAAATCACATCATTTCTTTACCCAATTTCAGTTGAGTCTCAAAATTTTTCCTAATAAACCCCAACTTAATGAATATGGACTTACGGCTTCTTAAACGAGGAAGTTTTTCTAAAATTAGGGTAACTGTAGTACAGTTGAATGGTGATAAAAAAAAAATTATAAAATTGGTTAATTATTTATAAGAACTTTTTTTGTAGATCTTGATGTCTTTTATCAACCTTTTAAATATTTCCATCTACTTACGGGACACCCGGTAAACAAACACACACACACACACACACATATATATATATATATATATATTATTCTTATTAATCATTCTCATTGCATTTATTTGATTCACTCTCTAAAAAATCAGGATTGATAAATACATCTATTATTGTGATTACATGTAAGTTTTAGTCACTCAAATGGTCTGATTTTATAAATGATTGTATCATATTCCTCATTTAGACATACTGGACCCATAGACTTGAAATGGATCCATTTTTATTAAGTTTTTGCAATGAAGTTCAATATTCGGTGACAAATGAATAATACTTGTCACCATCCACAGCTTTGAAGGCTTTCGCTCTCATTAGGTGTACTTTAGAAACCATTTTGTTCCTCCTAATTTAGCTATTTTCAATACAAACCAAGCCACCCAGAATAGACATGCCCAGACATAATTTTTCTAAAGTAATAATAATAATAATTAGCTTTATTGGCAACAATATTTGACAAAAGCCTAAATGGAGTATTTTAATTTTTCTAGTGATCTTGACGTACAGATTACCAAAAAAATGTTTCAGTCCATTTCCTTTCATGATTAAACTAATTGATTCCATACATGACATCAACAAATAAAAGCTACCTAGTCTCACATTCTCATTTTTTTAGACCAGGCTCGTGACATCTCTCTACTATGTCTCCAGCTTTCATATACAACGGTTGATTCAATGTTATGAAACATATTTTTTGATAATCACTTTAAGATTTATTGCTGGCAATAAGAAGTAATATTAAGATGATGTTATAATCACTATACAGAAAATTGACACATGGTAGCATTAAAACTTTTGGGCAAGTGAAACTTTATTTACTAGTGATCTATTCTATAATGCCATTCCATTGAGGAACATTTATAGCTTTTAACTATTTCCAATGATTACAGCCAAACAAGATATGAAGCTAATAGGCCTGGTGCCAGGGGCGGAAAATCGACCTGATCGCAGGCGAAGGTTTGAATGTAAATTACAGATGTGTATGTTAAGTAAGTAAATTATGAATGTGTAAATAAAATGTACCTTATCTACCTTGCTGCTTTCAAAAATGACGGCTGATTTATAGAATATCAGGCCAGTAACTTGAGGATCAAAATGGGAAATATATTGCAAAAAATTTGGGAAAAGTTTATTTTTAACTTTTGTATATGTGTTTAAACACATAAAATCCAACATTTCTAACTCGAGCAATCAAGAGAAAACTTCTAACAGCTGAAAAAGCAATATTTTTTTGTTTTTTCACATACATGCTCCTAAACGGTGCATCAAGCGAAAACTGTACTTTAAGAAACTAAAGAAAGTTAAATTGAGTCAAACGAATACGTAAACATAATAATTTGGTCAAGTGGTATGGTAGAAAACACGGTCAAAGAACGCTGTTTTTTTAAAATAAATCTGTCAAAAACTGAGACAAATTACTCTAAATGGCCCTGTAGCTTGAAAATGAGTTCCCTAAGAGGAAAAACTCAGAATCAAAGTTCTAGAGCATGAACAAACTTCACTGAATAAAAACAGTTTTAATGTAGGTTACTTCTCAGAAAATCTGTAATCTCCAGTTGGCTTGGAATTGGTAATGAAAGTATGTGTGTGATTTTCAATATTTTAACAGAATGGGAATTTATTATACTGAGTTATTCTTGTTTATAGTCTCCTATAGGCAGTATAGACCTCTTCTCCTCTCAGCAGCGAAGGATTTTGAGAAACGAGGTGTCAAAAGAAACTTCTTTTTTCTTTTTATTTCTTATTTCTTAATGAAGAAATAACAAATCCTGATTCAGGAGAAATAATTGACCTACATTAAAATTGTTGGTACTCAGTGGATGCAGAATTTCATGCTCTACAACTTTGATTCTAGTAATTTTTCCTCTTAGGGAACTCATTTCTAAGCTACAGGGCCATTTAAGAGTAATTTGTCTCACTTTTGGACAGATTTGATAAAAATCAATGTTCGTTGACCATACCACTTAACCAAATTATTAAGTTTAGGTACCCGTACGACATACAATTTAACATTTTTTAATTTCTTAAATAGTAAATTTTTTGCTCGATGCACCGTTTAGGAGTTGTATGTGAAAAAACAAAAAAGAAAGATTAAAAAAATATGGCATTTTCAGCTGTAAACATCTTCCCCTTGATTGCTAAAGTTAGAAATTTATACTCACCTTAAAAATATAACAACTTTTCGAACATTTTTTGTAATATATTTCCCGTTTCGTTCTTTAAGTTACTGGCCTAATATTCTTTAAATTAGATGCCATTCTGGAATGGCTGACAAGATTCATTTCACTTAGAATAACATGCACATTCATAATTAACATTCAAACCTTTGCCTGCGATCAGGTCGATTTTTTGGGCTATAATGGTTAGATTTCATCAATTTAGAATTCCATTCTTCATTCTTTCATTGGATATGAAATCACTGCTATTTTACTAAAAGTTTGATTAGGTTTTTGCTATTTATACTTTAGTTCTTCTACAATTATTTAGTTGGATATTTTTCACTACAATGACTACACAACTGTAAAAATATATACAATATTTTTTCTTAAACCATATACAAATGTTTTTTTTTTCTAGCTAGCTTATTTTTAAGTTAAAAAAAGTTTTTTACTATATTTGCATTTAACATTATGAACTTGTGAACTAAAATATTCAGTATAAACATGTCTGGGCTAAGTTGTTCAAGAAAACAGTTACTTAGCCAAAATTAAAAATGTATGAGTGTTTTTGTTTTGAAAAATTACCCTTTTTGAACATTCAGATCCTGTTGGGATTAGAAAAAACTTTCTATACTAAAATTTTAAATTGTTCAAGATTAAATATAATCATTACTTAACCACATCACTTTATATATATATATATATATATATATATATATGTATAAGTATTATAAGTATATAAAGTGATGTGGCGAAGTAATGATTATATTTAATCTTGAACAATTTAAAATTTTAGTATAGAAAGTTTTTTCTAATCCCAACAGGATCTGAATGTTCAAAAAGGGTATATATATAGCATTTCCAAGTCAATTTCAACCTTTTCCAAATCAAATTCAACCTTTTCCAAGTCAAATTAAACCTTTTCCATTTCAAATTCAACCTTTTCCAAGTCAAATTCAACCTTTTCCATTTCAAATTCAACTTTAGAATTTTTGTCAATTTTCGATTTTTTTCGAAATGAAGGCCACTTACTATATTATCGACGGCATAGCTTTTAAAAAATACAAAAAAAAAATTGATTACGCAGTTGCATATCCATTTATTTTAACATTTTAGATTTTTTCAGTGTGATATTTCTATGTGATATTCAATTATTTCCAAGTCAAATTCAACCTTTTCCAAGTCAAATTCAACCTTTTCCAGATCAAATCAAACTTTTTCCAAGTCAATTCAACCATTTCCATTTCAAATTAAACCTTTTCCAATTCAAATTCAACCGTTTTCATTTCAAATTAATGTTTTAAGTTTTTGTAAATTTTATATATTTTTTTTTTAAATAATGGCCATCCCCTCCCTCCCTCCAATATGAAAGTCTATTATTATGCTCTCCTAAGTAGAATTTTCACTTACGGATATCGATTTATTGTACCTATTCGGATTTCTTAGGGACTAGTATTATGCTGTCCTGTACCTAGTTTTGAAAATAACCTCCATTTTAAGATTACGTGACTGCGTTTCGAATCATTTAAGTTTTTTTGACAAATTCGATATGTGGGTGTATTTTTATGTTTCCCGATCAGTAAATTTTGAAAATGACATCCATTTTATGTTTACGCCACTGTGTTTTGACTTATTTAAGTTTTTAGAATTTATCCAATATAAAGGTCTACTTTTATGTTTCCGGAGCCGTAGATTTTGAAAACGACCTTCATTTTAAGATTAGGCCACCGCGTTTCGACTTATTTGAGTTTTTCGGATATTTTTCATATGAGGGTGTATTTTTATGTTTCCGGAGCTGTAGATTTTGAAAATGACCTCCATTTTAAGATTAGGCCACCGCGTTTCGACTTATTTGAGTTTTTCGGATTTTTTTCATATGAGGATGTATTCTTATGTTTCCGGAGCCGTAGATTTTGAAAACGACCTCCATTTTAAGATTAGGCCACCGCATTTCGATTTCTTTAAGTGTTTCGAATTTTTATCATAAAAGAGTGTATTCTTATGTTTCCGGAGTCGTAGATTTTGAAAATGACCTCCATTTTAAGATTACGCCACTGCGTTTCGGCTTATTCAAGTTTTTCGAATTTATCCAATTTAAAGGTCTACTTTTATGATGCCGGAGCCTTAGTTTTTAAAACGACTTACATTTTAAGATTAGGCCACTGTGTTTCGGTTTTGTTAAGTGTTTTTGATTTTTCCTTCGAATAAAAAACATAATACGAAGGATTAATTTATTTTTCAATAAATAAATAAAAATATCTAATCAAAATAAATAAAATATGTATTGTCTCATTTTTAATTTAATTTTAGTTATCTTTTTTAATGTTGTGGTCTCCTATCACAAAATTATAAGATTTCGAACAATTAGCTGAAAAATCTGAATACGGAAGGTTAAATTTATTACCAGTTGCTTTTCGGCTTTTTAGTTTGTATTCTGTGGTTAATTTTACTTTAGCTTCATAATATTTATTTATTTATTCATACTCGAAAACATATTGATGAAACTTTGTATTGAAAAAATCCAAAATGAAGCCTAATTAATCAAGATGCAGCGGCTTAATCATAAAATGGAGCTTAAATATTAGATAAATTTAAATATTAAAGATTAGAAAAAATTCAATACGTCTCGGATAACATATAAGTAGATCCTTATACCGAAAAAGTAAAAAAAAAAACTTTTATAATCCAAAACAGTGGCATAAACTTTAAATTGGGTCATTTACAAAATGGGGGAAATCTACTGCTCCAGAAACATAAAATTAGACCTTTATACTTGTTAAATTCTAAAAATTTAAATAAGTTGAAACGCAGTTGCGTAATCATAAAATAGAGGTCATTTTCAGAATCTACAGTTCCGAAAACATAAAAGTAGACCTTTAAATTGGATAAATTCGAAAAACTTAAATAAGTCAAAATGCAATGGCGCCATCATTAAATGGATGTCATTTTCAAAATCTACGGCTCAAGAAACATAAAAGTAGACCTTAATATTGGATAAATTCGAAAAACTTAAATAAGTCAAAACGCAGTGGCGTAATCATAAAATGGAGGTCATTTTCAAAATCTACAGCTCCGGAAACATAAAAATACACCCTCATATGAAAAATATCCGAAAAACTCAAATAAGTCGAAACGCGGTGGCCTAATCTTAAAATGGAGGTCATTTTCAAAATCTACAGCTCCGGATACATAAAAATACACCCTCATATGAAAAATATCCGAAAAACTCAAATAAGTCGAAACGCGGTGGCCTAATCTTAAAATGGAGGTCGTTTTCAAAATCTACGGCTCCGGAAACAAAAAAGTAGACCTTTATATTGGATAAATTCTAAAAACTTAAATAAATCAAAACACAGTGGCGTAAACATAAAATAGATGTCATTTTAAAAATTTACTGATCGGGAAACATAAAAATACACCCTTATATCGAATAAGTCAAAAAAACTTAAATAATTCGAAACGCAGTCATGTAATCTTAAAAAGGAGGTTATTTTAAAAAACTACTCATACGATAACAGACCCACGCATCGAAAAATTAAAGATAATTAAATAAATAAAAAAAGGTTGAATTTGAAATGGAAAAGGTTTAATTTGAAATGGAAAAGGTTGAATTTGACTTGGAAAAAGTTTAATTTGATTTGGAAAAGGTTGAATTTGACTTGGAAAAGGTTGAAATTGACTTGGAAATGCTATATATATATATGTATATATACAATTTGAGCAACTCGACCTTTTGCAAGGTAGAACCCCCTTTTTTTTTTGGTGGCTAATTATCTTTTAGGAGAATTACCCATATAATACGACTGACAGTAAATTAAAAATACTTATAGGATTATAAAAATTAGGAACATTTAATTAATTAATCTAATGCTTTAGAAATAACTTCGAAAATACTAACTTCACTCCGAATTTAACTTTTTTTTTTTCCACCATAAAATCAATAATGGCACCAACGTTTAATGTTTTTAATAGCCTAATATCTTGGCTACGGACTTTGTCAAATAACTGCCACTCTCCAGGTGTAGGGGGGTTTGATTGCGCTTGTGATTTCTCAGGTCCTGTTTCATCACAGCAAAACAGATAATCATATCCAGATCTTCCATACATTTCAGGACCTCCAGATAATGTCGATGACCTATAAAGATAAGAATCATATTATTAAAGATGAAAAGAAATTAACACATTTTTATTGACCCAATAGATTTTAATAGTTTTTATCATACAGTAAAATAAAATAATATATACACATAATTATTATATTAATATTAGAATGATTAATTAGGAGAAATTTAATCAGGCTTGAAATATTAATCCAAATTTAAGTTATGTCTAAGAGAACAGAGCTATCATTTTTTTCTTAATTGATTACTTCCTTACCATTATAATTTCATATGATACGGTTAAAAAAGGAATCAATGAATGTTTGAAATTTCCCATTTAATGATACAATTTTTTATTAAAATGGGAAATTGAACATATGCTTTTTCTTTACTTTACGTTGCAATTCCAAATAAGAACCATTTATTTGATTTACTTTCATGCGCCATGTCTTAAAGGCAGACTACATGAAATATTACAAGAATTTTACAGGTAATGAAACTTTTAATTTATTGTATATTTTATACATTTAATGAATATTTTGACTGAACACTCAAACTAACTTTTCTTCAAGTAATGAAAATAAGTTTTAATAAACTTGAGTATAAGATTAAAAAAAAAAAAAAAGAGTATTAAATGAAAAAATTAAATTACAAAAAATAAATAAATATTAGAACCAAACTGAATAAACAAAAAATCAACCGACCTTTAATAAAACCTTGGTTGTAAGGTACCTAAACAAAACCTTTTGGTAAAGACATCTGATTTTTATTTTGTATGACTTATAAATATTGTTAATGTTACAATATAATAAAATAATTAAAAATAGTGGGCCACCGTGGTAGAGGCTTTTTGTTTTGATTTCTATCAAAACCAAAAAGTCATGAGTTAAAATCCCATTCGTGGGAACAAAAACGATAGTAGTTAATAATAAATAAAACCAAATTTAAAAAATAAAAATTGCAAGTACTACCCGATTACTTTGACCACTACGGCGGGTTAGATTCCCGCATGGGGATGGTAATGTCCCCACCCAGAGATTCACAGGGAGGGGAGGGACCTCCGTTTCTTACACCATAGCTCCTGGTCCTCCAGGTTGGGAGTTGGACGTAGGCTAATAATCCTATCTAGGAAAAAACACATTATTACAAAACCAAAACGAAGCCTCAGAAAATAGGACTGTCTAAACATGGTAATGACCTTGGCTTTGAACGGACTATACATTGGATCTTGGAACTTAAGCAGTTTATACAGAATAGAAGTCTCAAAAATGGTAGTCATGGAACAAAAGAGGTATATCATTCCGGAAAACAGCCATTTAAGAGGCCAGATGGTGGCAAAACCATTATCGATGGCCATACACTATTCTACTCCGAGAGAAACGATAAAAATGGGAATTATAGTTAATCCAGCGGCAAATCATTAATTTCACCCCGATGAATGAAAGGATTAGTGTATTACAAGTTAAAGGTCGTTAATTTAATATCACAAGAATTAACGTCTATAAACCAACCAAAGACAAAGATGAAGTAGGTGAAGGATGATTTCTACAATCAGCTGGAAAATATTGTGGATCACGCTCATAGGCATGACATAAAATTAGTCATAGGTGACTTTAATGCAAAAATAGGATGAGAACCCCAAATTCAGGCCCATTATCGGAGGCCAAAGTCTTCACAAAATAGCAATGACAATGAAGTGAGATGTATCAGTCTGGCAGCAGTAAAGGTCTAGTCGTCAGCAATACAATGTTCCTACTTAAGTATATCCACAAGTACACCGGGATTAGCCCCAAAGGAGTGAAAAAACAAATTGGCCATGTGCTGATAGAGAAGAGACATCAGAGCTCAATACAAGATGTAAAAAGCTACGGTGGAGCAGACTATGAATCCGATCCCTCTCTGATTAGAATTAAACTGCGTTAGAGATTGAAGCGAATTCACACAACAGGGGATCGAGTGGAAAGAAAGAGGTACGAAGTCCAGTAATTTGAAAAATCCTGAAGTAAAAACCAAATTCCAACTTGAGCTGAAAAATAAATTCGAACCCTTTGGATTCGGATAGCCTCAAGGTAGACTAACACTAGGAGGAAATAGGGAAAGGACTAAAACAAACAGCTAAGGAAGTGATAAGTATTCAGGAAAAACGAAAAGCTCAGATGTGGTTCATAGAAGCATGTGAAAAGGCAGTAGAGGAAAGGAGAAAAATGAAACTCCTCTGCCTAACTACAACTGATCAAATTGCTCAGGACAAATACACAGCTGCCAAAAAAAAAAATGCAAACAAAACTATAAGACCGGCAAAAAGGGAATTACTCAAAGAAATATTGCAAACCATTGAGGGCAACTGGCAGGCTGAAGATGTAGGCAAATTATACCCAGACATTAGGAAAGAAAAGGTAGGATATAAAGCGAGAAATATGAAAGTGCGAGAAAAAGATGTCATATAAAAAAAAGATATCTATGGAACAGAACATCTGGAAAGAACATTTCCAGGAACTTCTCAATCAAGAGGACCTCACGAACGAAGAAGACCTTAACCCAGAAGAGGTTGAAAAACCAGATATACTGGATGTAGAAATAGCTATCGAAAGACTCAAAACAAGAAAGGCCACAGGGATAGACAACCTAAAATCAGAACTGTTTAAAGATGGGGAAGCCGAATTAAGAGCCAAGCTACTACAACTAATTCAGAAAATATGGGAAGAGGAAAGGATACCTGAGGCTTGGATACCGGAGGCCTAATCTGTCCTATCCTAAAGAAAGGCTCCATGTATGAGTGTAGTAATTATAGAGGCATAGCACTCCTGGATGCCTACAAGATAATGACCAATATCCTACTAAACCGGATATATCCGTATTACGAAAATATAATGGGTGACCACCAAGCTGGATTCAGAAAAGAGAGGTGGACACTAGACTAGATCTTCATCCTAAAACAAGTACTAAAAACGATGGGAAGTAGCTCAGGATGTCGACGCCCTATTTGTCGATCTCAAAGCAGTCTATGATTTTGTGGACAGGAGCTGTCTTTAGAAAATCATTACTGAACTGAGAGTTCCTGGTAAATTGGTGAGATTGACAAAGGAGCGTAAAAATGACTCCAAATATAGAGTCCTAATGCAAGGAGAAGTATCTGAAGCCTTCGAAGTTCGAATGGGCTGACGACAGGGAGGTGGAGTATCACCAGTGTTGTTCAACTTAGTCCTGGAGAAGGTAATAGAACAATATCTCAGGAAAATGGAGAGATACAGGTTGGAATGAATCATAAAATTCTTGGATACACAGATGATATAGCTGTCATTGAAAGTAATCAAGAGGACATTGAGAAACTTGCTAAAACTCTGATAAGAGAGGCAGAGCAGATCAGCCTACAAGTAAATTAAGACAAAACAAAATATATGATAATAAGCCAAAAATTCCACCCTATAACATAACAGAATCTGTGTAGAAGGAAAATCATTCCCAAGAGTAGAAAAATTCAAAAACCTCAATGAATGACCAATGGGCAGAAATAGACCAGCGTATAACTAGCGCAAACAGAGCTTTCTTCTCCCTCTCAAAGACATTGAAATCTAGAAAAATCTCAAATTAAGGGTATACAATGCTGTGAAAAAGCCAGTTCTAATATACGGCTGTGAGACCTGGACATAAACCAGTTCTTAGAAACAAGTGTTCAAAGATTTGAGAGAAAAATACTCCGCACAATAACTGGAACGATCTGGGATCAGAGTAATAACACATGGAGAAGGAAGACCAATAAAGAACTGCTTACAGAAACTGCTCAATCAATATCCCATGATATGAAGGCACGGATGTTAAAATGGGCGGGGAATGTAGCTCATAGCAATCCACCTGGAAGCCTCTACGTAACAATGAATGTCTCGATAGAAGGCAAAAGAACACGTGGAAGGACAAAAAGTAGGTGGATAGATAGAATCAACAAAGATGCAATAGAGCTGCGTCCAGATAAATGGAAAGAAATAGCCCAAGATAGGCAGAGATGGAGAAGGCTTGTTAAGACAACAAAAGATCTACATGGTCTGAAACACCAACAGAAAAAAATAAAAAAATAAAAATAGTTCCGAGACTATTGGTATAGATCAGAAGTACTGAACTTGTTTCTACTTGAAGATACATTTATAGGTTAATAGTTAATCAGAGGGCTGCACCACTTTGTGTTTTTCCTTGATTTTTTTGTTTGGTATTGTTAAGAATAATAAAAAAAAATTATTATTTTGAGATATAAAAAATTACTTTTATATTTTTACAAGATATAAAATTTCTTTGTAAGAAATCTAAATGCTGTACGGTAATATATAGGTACTGTGATATGTGCACTGCAATTCATTGATTAGTTTTTATAAATTTAGAGAGTATCAATATAATTTGATAATTTGAAAAAACAAAAATAAGGGCACTTGATCTCAGGGTCAACAGCTGAAATAACTTTTTGCCTTAGCCGGGCTAGAACAAAATCCCAGTACCTTACTCATTCAGCATCTAAACCTCCACATTTCCTTATTAACTTATACAAAAATTCTTTAGGGTTCTAGAAATTTCTTATTTAAATAATTAGTATTTCTTTACTTTTTAGATATGCAAATTATAACACAGAGAAACAGTTGTGTGAATGCATGTAAATACATATACATTTTTCTAAATTAGACAACTCTATTTCTAAATATAAATGCCAAATTCTAATTATTCATAAATTCATAATTTTAAGGTCAACTTTACCGGCAAACATTTTTTCCTTTATATAGTATTACGGGTAAAGGGAACCTCGCTCGGCATCGAGCTGATCTGGCCTTCATAAATAAGTCTTTCAGATTGGAACTGTCATAAACGCTCTCATAAAGAGTGCCATTATTAGATTTCTTGGGCGGAGAATCTGGATTACTATTGTTAAGAGAATGATTGATCTTCTCATTCTCCATTATTATTAACTGGCTTGGATAGTGAGCACAAAATTCGCCATTTGTGTTTGGTATTGTCTGAAATCAGATTTGACTAAATTAAAAAAACAAAATATATCATAGAGCATTACATTAAAAAAAAAAAATACAAATAAAAATTAAGTCAAATAAGATTGTATACTAAGTAAACATAATTTAAAATATGATTATCAGAGAAGCATATGAGGTTATAATTTAACAAAACCATTAATTCTAATTTAACAAAAAAAATAACATGCATATTTTTTTACTTTCCTACCTATACTAGGTAAGGAAAGTATTGCAATCGGGTCAAATTTCCGATATGCGGTTTTTGACGGATCTATACGTTACAGAGCCCCTGAGTTCGAAGAACACATTTTTAGCCATTGGTCTGTCTGTCTGTGCCAAGATTTTTTAAACTACTGAACCAATTTTGTTGCTTCTTTTTTTATTTTGTAGGGTTTTGACTACTGATGCCTGTGAGAGAAATTGGGAGCTCCATGTGCAATAAATTAAAAACATGTTTTTTAATAGAATATAGCGCGAAAACGGCTCTAACGATTTTGATGAAACGTTCCTCTAATGTTCTAATAATTGTCCTTTCAATTTTCGTAAAATTTATAATAAAACTTTTGAAAAGTAATTAAATTATCAACAACAAAAAATCATGTCAATCTTGAGATGTTGTATTCTAATTTCATGTATGTTTACTTATCACTTTTTGTTGGCTACTATTGGACAACCAAATTATTCATGATACTAGGTCCAACAAGATAGACCATAATTAAAATAGGTACCTTAACACCAAACAACAAAGAACCATGACATCACTAAAAACATTCCTCAAAAAATCAGATAGGAACCTTGTTCCTACTTTGTTGGCTAAATGGTCTACATCAGGGGCAAATCATTTGTTCAGCATTGTAGGCCACTGGTGTAGATGGAATATTTGTGAATGTAAGCATATTGGTGAAAGTACTGCACAATGTTAGTGTTGGTCATTTTCAAGCAGTTTTCTTTCACAGATCAAAAGGATATTGCCATTGCCCAATATTTGCATGCCTCCATACATGAAAACATGTGAACTGCCCAACGGCTTCTTATTATTATCTAAATGACTGATCATAAAACCGTTGATATTTCAAAATCGATATTGAAATTATCAATGTCATAAAACATATGTTTCCTTATTTCCCATTAAATTTTATACTCTACAACTTAATAAACTGTTCATCACTAATGTGAAGCTGCCATCAGTAGAGCTTTGGAAACATTGAAATGACACACACTAATTAAATAAGCAATATTTAGCCCGGCAAAAGTATATGCATCAAAATTACGAAGTTTCTGAATGATCCAATTAGTTTCCCAGTATTCCCTTCTTCTGGCACCTTCCTCTCAGCAGTGCTATCTCCACCTATTTGACAAGTGATCTTTGACAATGGGAAGCTCTCAAAACAGGAAAGTCTTTAGTTGAGGCAACATCATCTAAATGACGAAGCGATAGCTTTTCGTGTCAATTCTTCCTCATTTAAAGTAATTCATTTATTCGTCTCACAGAAACAGTAGCTTTTTTGCTTACTTATAGTTCATTATTGGTGCAAAAAATCTTTAAAAACGATAATAAAACTATACCTTGAATTGCCTAACCAGGATGGCATTATAAAAGATAAAAATGGTTTTAAGATGAGTACGACCCTCAACAAGTGCAAGAAAAGTTCTCAGTGTCAACATTGTTAATGGTTCAACACAAAAATGTAGAGCCAGTCAAACAGTTTTTCACTGAGGGTCATGTTATTCCTAACGTTTATTTTGTTTTTAATATAATATAATTCGATTATTAAAATAAAAAATATTTTTCTCCCATACCACTGTTGAGGAATTGTACAGAGTATTATTATTAAATTATACAGAGTACAGTTATCAGAAAACCTCAACAGAGCATGTTGAATTTAGAGGTATAAGATGATTAAATGGAAGAAGGAAGAGTATGGAAGGATGAACTAAAGGGTCAGATGGATCAGCACCCAAATCACTCTTGGTCTGCGGTGTAAGCGACCAACCTTAACATTCCGCAGGGATGGTAACCACCAACGGAGGGATCAATCTCCTGACTTAGTAAGTAGGAATACAAGCGGACAGATCAGCATCCAGACTTGTTAATGACAAAGATAGATGGAAGGGGAAGCAAGTGCCATAGGTTAAGGTAGAAGGTAGCCAGCAGGCTAGTAAAGAAGATCGAAAGAAGAAAATATGACTAACAAGTAGTGAATGCCAACAAAGGAAGAATAGAAGATTGTAGAAGTTGAATACAACAAAATAGAAGAAGATTCACTGCAGAACAGGGTGAGTGAAAAATATATAGTGACAGTAAGAAAGATTAGACCCCCACAAAAGAAAGGAAACTCGTAAATAAGTTATATAAAATTAATGTATGCCTTTGTATTCTATATTTGAGGAATGTGTTAGTTGTCTCAACCCAACCTGAGAAATATTTATTTTTTTAAATAAAAATAATTTGATTCAGAAACTGTTGGTTTACTTTTCAAAGGGAACGTAACCTTACAACATGGCACCCAACTAGCGTGGCTTTAAAATTAGACGTATATAGCCACTATAACTAAACACACAATCCTCTTTAATTTTTATTTTTTTCACTTTACTATTGTTTTAAATACAGAAAATGGCATTTAATAGTGAGGCAAAAGAAATTTTGGGAATTCCAGAGGGGTCAAAAGTTATTTTAAATGAGGAAAATTCATTAGTTATAGATTACAAAAGTATTGCGCAGGTCCAAGTAGCCGACAAACGAATTCAAATAAATGACAGAGCTAACTCAGAAGTATCGGATATTCAATCGATCTTAAGTCAAATACTAGCCGGCATTAATGAAATGAAAAATGAATTCAAAAATAATTTTGAAACATTTACAACAGAATTAAGAAATGAAAACAGTAGTAGGGCCAAACAATGGAAAGAAAGATTTGAAAAGTGTTCTGTTAATAATAACAAAAAATATGATACTGACATAAAAGATTTAAAACAAAATCTCAATAAAGAGACAGTATGCATGGAAAATAATTTATCTGCAAAATTAGATAAAAAAGAAAATACATTAATGAATCAAATAAATGTATGTCAAGCAGGAAATGGTAAAATAAACGACAAACTTGAAAATATTGAACAAAAGCAGTCAGAGGAAATATGCCAATTACGGAGGAAAATAATTAATGGAAACATAACAAACCATTGCACCTGTTCTGTTTTAAAAAGCAGAAATATAAATAAAATAGAGAAGCTTGAATTTCAAGGTTTCAAGAAAAGTGACCCAATTATATTCTATTCAAAACTAAAAGATAATAATAAAGTTAAAATAAATAAGTGGAAATTTTTTTTTGGAAAATGTTAATATTGTTAGATTCCTTACATTCATAAAGAACCCTTCCACTAAGCTACCAATGGTGAAGGTCCCAGGTTCGAATTCCGGCTCATGGCAGAAAATTTATTTATTCTGTTTCATTGGCCGTGGAGTGACCCTGGGGTAGGGAGACGCTCCTGGGGAATACCCAGTCTCAACAAAGTGGGTTCCCTTCATTAAATAATTAATTAAGGGGAAAAACCTGATGGATAAGCCTGATCCTGGCCCGATTCCCTCCTTGCACAACCGTTGGCCTTGAAACTTGAAATAGTACTTTCCCTAAATAGTACTGAACCCAAGACCCTTCATTGATTGTAGTTGGTACAGGTTTTTCAGGTTCACAAACTAGGTGATGCAAGCATACCCCAGAGGTGCTGGGGCAATAACATATTATGTTTAAGGACAAAACAATCAATTTGGTATAAAGGCATTTTAAAATTTATAATCTTAGATTTATTAATTACAAATAAAATAAGAATCAAATCAACTACTTTTCAGTTACTCCACTGATTGTTACCAAATAACACATGATAAAAACATCATCAAGGTGATATTAATAATATGAAATATAAATTATAAATAATAGCTTATTAAAAAAAGGATGAAATGTTGAACATTTCCCTCGCTTACAGTAACCAGGTCTGATTTTTAGTTTCTGAGATATTATAATACACATCCTCCATAAAACTCGCTATCATTTGGTTTTCAACACTATTTTTTCCTTTTTAACTCTCTAACATGGCATCGAATTAAGATGCAATTTTGAATAATAGTCTATTACAGAGAGGATGAAATGCTGAACAATTTCCTAGTTTACAGTAGGCAGTCCAACATTTAGTTTCTAAGATATTTTAATCCATATCTTCAATAAAAATCGTTATAATTTGGTTTTCGATACTATTATTTCCATTTCGCCTCTCTAACACGTCATCACATTAAGATACTATTTTGAATAATAGCCTATAACAGAGAAGATGAAATGAATTCCCTTGCTTACAGGCATGCAGGTCCAATTTTTAGTTCCTGAGATATTATAATCCATATCTTCAATAAAACTCATTTTTATTTGGTTTTCGACACTATTTTTTCCTTTTCGCCTCCCTAACACAGCATCGCGTTAAGACACAATTTTGAATAATAGCTCATTACAAAGAGGATGAAATAATAAACATTTCCCTCGCTAACAACATTCAGGTCCGATTTTTAGTTTTTGAGATGTTTTAGTCCATATGAAAAAACACTTCAATTAGTCGAGTCTAGCTGACTTTACTCGAGTGTTATACATCGGAGATATGATGGCTCAATCTAATTCACTCTCCACAAAAAGTTTAAACGTGCCTAAAAATTTTTCACTTCAAAAATGAATACAGCCATACTTTCAAGCTTCAATGTTTCTAAATTACATAGGATTTATATGGTGTCATACAGCCGATTTAAAATTACTCTAAAACTTGATTGAATTTAGATTAAAAGTGAGATATTACCCATTTTGACATTTTATTATACAAATAAATATGTTGGATTTATTTATTGAAGCTGATAATCAAATAATAATATTTCATGGGGTAAACTAGTACTTACAACATAAGTGTAGTCAAGTGAGACCAAATCTATACATTTTTGCATAGCAGCCTGAACCTAAAAAAAAACAACATAAAAACAATCAGATATAGTTTTCTAATTAACTAAAATTATCAAAAATGTTCATATCAATGAGACTAAAAAGCAGTTATACTTTTTTAGTAAAAAAAACAAAATAAATGAACATCCATAACATCTAATAAGAATTGAAGGTAAAATCATCAAAACTGTGGTAGATCAAAATAAAAATAGAACTACAACTTATAAAAAACCCAACATTACATTATAAAAAAAAAAAAAACAGTTTCTAGGAATATTCTACTATCATTAAATTATCAAAAAAGAAAAATATCAGAAAAGACAACTAGCTGGAATTGTATCTCCAAAGCACCGCAAAGGGATGGATAGAAAATTCAGCCAGTAGAAATTTATACAAACATTAGTCCAACTTTAAAAAACTAATATTGCTACTATAAACTGTGATCTACAATGTGATCAATATGATCTTGACCTACTTGTTAACCAGGTATGATACTTTTACAAAATATCTAGTATGTAGGTATTGAAAGTAGTAAAAAATGTAATTAACATATGTATGTATGTAAGTATATTAGATTTTATATGTAAGTATATACAACAATCTGTATTGATTACATAAATATTTATATAATATTGAGTTTGTAATAGGGTAATGGCATACTTAGTCAGACTAAATCGTAAACAATCTACTTCTCAGTTTAACTAACTCTGTATTACAGCAAAAAGTTGTAAATGGCGTGAAATATTTATCGATAGATAATATCATGATCAACATTTTATAAAAATCAAGGAACTGAATGATCACCATAGAAAAGCATCAAACTCAAAGAACTTGACTTCAGTCTGGATATAAAATAATTTTTATTAAAGCAGAAATACAAAATAGATTGTTTTAATTATCTAAACCATATTAAGCATATCAACATCCAAAAAAAGAAAACTCATGGAAACATTAAATGATATGATAATTTTAGATCAAACACTCAAAATTACTTTTCCAGGCGTTTTAATAATTTAAATTGACAACAAAATTTAATGTGAAATATAACTCATATCTAGGAAATAAGATGATAAAATTGAACTTAAAAGACAAAAAGATACTTAAGAAAAAGGGAAAGGAAAATTCATAACAATAAAAATACGGTATAAAAGTTGTTTTTATTGAGAATCCAAATTAAAAATTACACATATATGAGAGCTGCTGATCTAAATATTAGAACAATCATTAAGCTCACGTGTGATCAACACAAAATAAACCACGATAAAAATGAATAAGAAAAACAAAAACTGAAGTTTAAAATATTTACAATTATATTGCTGTATCACGTGTGATAATATAGATATAAAAAACTTAAGTTTAATGAAGAAAACAACACTTAAACTTACTACTGGATCACAATCTTTGGCTTTAAACGTATTCCTAGAAAAGAATACGAGCAGATTTTGCAGCTCCTCAGATTTGATTTCCTCCATAACAGCTACCTTGAAGCAAAAATGCACAGATAGTAAATTTCTGATGTTTTATCACAGGAACACATCTCACAGTTAACATCAAAATCTAACTACAGAATTTCATAAAATAAACGAAAATACATCGAGGTCTAATGAAGTTGTAATTCCCTTGATCGATAGTAAAACTATTTGTTCTTTGGCTATGTTTATATTTAACATTACATTGATGAGTAATATATGTACATATACCCTCTTTCATAGAAATTGAATAAAATTAATCGTAGTTATCATTATAGAATGTTAAATTTTAATTTTAAAACTTCAATTATGATATTTATTTATTTTTAACGAGCTTCAGCGCTGAGCTCCAAAAACAACCAAAATAAATTTTATTTATACTAATATGTATAAAGTTTATTGTTAAATGTATTTTTTAAACTAACAAAATCATTAACTGAAATCTATTCATAAAACTTCTTATTTGTACAAAAATATATAGTAATAAAGTAATAATTTCAAAATATTAACCTACAATATTCACGGTCTGAAAAATGAAAATAAATTTTTCTATAACTATTTTAAAAATATATATATATATATATTGTTATTTTGAACACATATTAAAGAGAATGATACTCTTCTATTATATTAATTTAAAGTGCATACCGGTGATTTTGAAATAGACGCCAGGACAGACCAGTGATTTTGAAATAGAACTCAGGACAAGCAATCAGTGAATGATTTTAAGTCTTGAAGGGAAAAATTTAATAGGACTACAGGGCGAAGTTCATACAAATAAGAGGGCTTAAAGTAAAAACATTCGAAGTTTACCTGCTTATCTAATACCAATGTATCTCAATGATTAAGATAACCTCCAAAAAAAAAAAAAATTGTTAAATAGAAACTTTAAATTTTTTTATCGAAAAAATGCCTAAAAGGCAATGAAGTTATTGAAAAATACATGCGTTACTAACTTTAACTTTAGTTAAGTTTATTTGATATTTTAGATACCATTATCTTAAATAGTAGAACTAGAAATGCTAAAATATATTACAAAAAAAAAATATATATATAACTACAATAGAACAAACAAATATTAGAAGTACATTAAAGCTAACAAATATTATAATTACTTTAAAAATTATGAACTATCGTTAACTTCAGATAGGCATGTTTGATAATTTAGAAAAAAATTACTTAAAATCCACTTTTGAAATGATACTTTAACTTTTATTTTTAATCAGTTTCAGTATGACAGGAATCTATATTTTTTAAAAATTTCAGTTATTTCGGAACTAGAACATTTTCTCTAGTAACTTTTTAAGTAAAGGTTTCACAGAACTTTTATTTTTCCAAAACTTTTATTTAAAAGTTGTGTTGACTTCAAAAAGTCGATTAAAAAACTGACTTGTATTTTGAGTTAATCAAACAAACGACGCTTTAGGATGAAGTAACTCATTCAAGATAAATTGTAACCTTAATCTAAGAACAAATAATGTTTATTTCTTATTTAAGTAATTTTCATTAAGAACTTAAATAAACTATAGTTAAACTTTTTATAATAAATCTAGATCTTTATTACAAAAAAGTTCTTAAGAACCTTTACTTTCAGAGCATTTTTTACAAAGTAGTTTTCACAGAAACTGTTAAAATATGCTAACTGTTTAAGATTGCTAACAAACATTGGCGTACCTAGATACGAGGCAGTTTTATTTTTGATTTCTATCAATAAAAAGTATTAAATAAATTAAAAGCTTCGACCGTATTAAAGAAGTAATAATAAAAAATAAAAAAAAGTAATGAAGTTCTCGTTTGTTTAAAAAAAATCTATTTAATCTTTTTGCAATAAAATTATCGTTAAAAAAAGGGCCCTGGCTTGACGTCTCCTTAGCAAATGGAGCTCCATGATTCACGGGCGGATCTACGGGGGGGGCTTTCGGGCTGAAGCCCCCCCCCCAAAATGGTAAAATATACCAATGTTTTATCGAAAAAAATATTTAAAAAGTATCTCTTAAAGTATTATTGTTTGTGTAATTACATTTTAAAGGGCTTTAGGAATCACTTAAACACCATTTCATACAGGTAGTTAGTTTCTTTCTTTTTTTCCGAAGTAATTAACGTTTTTTTTTATGAAAAAAACAGCTTTCGGGCTGAAGCCCCCCCCAAAATGAAATCCTGGATCCGCTAGTGCCATGATTCTATAACCTAATTAAAATACAAAAAAATCAATATGAATTAACAGAGGTTAGTTTGTAACATCTGTATTATTTTTTAATTATTTCATTTTTTCTACTTGGTTGGTCTCAGACTTTCATTTAAGCGCTATGAAGCCAGAAGCAGATCAGTTTTTGTACAGGATAAGTTCCTAAACTCAGTGTTAATCCATTGATAGATTCCCGATACTCATCAATGACCTCAGCGCTGAGCTCTGGAACTTGTCCACTGTTACATCGATGGGTTTAGGAATGGCCTGATGGTTTTCCAATTCTCATCAATAATCTTAACTCTGAGTTTAGAAACATGCCAATGCCTATAGAGCTAGTTTCTAATCTTAGCGCTTATTCTATCGAAGGAATCCAACAATCGGTTGAATCCAACAGCGATTTACGCTGAGTTTAGAGACGACCAGCTGCACATGGAACGTGGATTTTGACAAATATTTTTTATGTAGTTTTTATATAATGGCAGCATAATATTGGGTAGTACAAAACAGTGCTAATCTAGAGTTTGAATATTCCTTTGACGGCGAGACCTCATAACGAGTGTTTCTTTCCGATGGTGGGTCCGAAATCCAAAAAGACGTTTGGAAAAACGGATTTTTTTCCCCTTAAAATTTTTTAAAATACTATTTTGAGTCATTCTGAAAGATATTAGCTTTCAAAAATGCATCAGAATAAATCTGCAACTGATAGCTTCCAACAAATGGTCAGAAACCGTAACGACCGAACTGAGTGAGGTCTAGAGGACTAATAAATGCACGGACCAAGCTACAAGTGGCGATCGCCGGGCGGTATGGCAGGTATCCCGTCCGCAGCCAAGGTGATATTAAATTCAAGAGGATTGCTCCAAAGCAGTATTTTTCTTGAATATTAGTGTTAACCAAGCATTACCCATAAAATAACACGACAATACCACGATTCAATTCCCAAAACCATATAAAACATAGTTGTCGATAGGTTGTCTACGGATTCGGATATGTCAAGGTCTTCCTATAAACTTAAATTAGTAGACCCTGACAGGCCATATTGATGTCTATTATGATAAACAAATCCTGTAACTTGATATAGTCAGTGTTACTTTCTACTTATTTTGGTTCTTTTTCTGGTAAATGTAAGTATTAGCACCATCATAATAATTATTATGAATAAAGAGTTATATTTATGGAGATCTTTCAAAGTTTTCGATTTGTTTAGCAGTGAATCCGTTGCCATTCCACCTCGAAATTTCCCCTTATGATTTACTATAACACTACCTATTTATAGAGAAAAATTTAAAATATAATTAATTAAATATAATTTAAAAAAAAAAATACTAACTAGAATTGGGAACTCCCTCATAGCTAGTTTGTTTAATATAGATGATCATGAAGAATTTGAAGTGCGATGTCCAGGTAAGTGGAGGCCTTTCTAGAGAGTTTGAAACGCACAAAGGCCTTAGACTGAGGGTGACAGTCTTACCTGTCTCTTTTTAATATGGCACTGGAATATGCAGTTAGAATTTCAGGTGAGTAAATTGGGGACACCTTATTTCACAGATCGGCTCAGAACCTTGGTTTCGTGGACATCTTAAACATAATAGAAGCATGGCGTCTACGAAGGAGACATTTCTCGTTCTACAAAAAGCTGAACAAAGATTAGATAAACTGTGTATGAGACTAAAATCAAATATATGAGATCCGCAAGCGGTAGTTCAGCAGGACACCCATATAAAAATCGGTGACTTCACATTGGAGTGTGTGAACGAATTTATTTATTTAGGCTCTCACGTGAACTCTGACAATAATGTACAGCAAACAATTAATAGAAGTTTAATAGCTGCAAACAGATGCTATTTAGGGCTCCAAAAATATTTCAGAATTAAATATTGTAGAGTTAATGCATGCTATCACGCAGCACTGCTCAGCTGTTGTAAACATGCCAAGGCAGGTTGGCTGGGGTGAGGTTACCCAGAGAGTAATAGTCCTTTGTTCCTGATAGTGTGATGTTTCTGTAAAACAATAAAAATGTGTTGTGTATTGTGATATAAAGTTTATCAATAAGCCTCATTTATTTCCTGACATCACATAGTGGCATCCCTTGTGTGGGAAATTAAGGATAATGAGTGCTAAAGAGTTGAAAACTGCCAAACTAGAAAGAGCTCAGTGGAGAAATTTATTCACAACTTTAGCTACTTCAGTAGAAAAGAAAAGAGCTGAAAATGATCCTGAGTTAAAAAAGGAATTTAGAACACTAGAAGCAAGAGCAAAACATATATTAGAGTTTGAAAAAAATGTAAGAGGTTTGATACCAGTTGATGAAAACATTTATGAAAATGAACTGGAGGATGAATTCGATGCATTCATAAATTATCAGGACAAGTGAATAGAAATAAAAAAGTAAATTTGAGGATTTGGTTGAGCATTCAAATAAAACATGGCATGATAATGATATTTCAGCAACTATCAGTCCTTCAAGAGAGAAATTACAGAAAGAAAAGGAAGAAATACTTTCAAATAACCTTGAGATTGTTGAAACAAAAGTTGAGCACGATGTCAAACCTGAAAATTTAGCAGGTAAATTTTCTGGTGGAGTAAAGTTGGAAAAATATAAACATTTACAGTGATATCCCTGCATCAAATGATGAATGCCTAGAGATATTAGAAAGAAATAATACAACATGGAGTGATGGCGATGGTGGGAGAGACAATCAAGAAGTAGAGTTGATTCTTGCAGCAGATGTCATGAGACAAAACCTGACAGGAAGGTTAGAACCAATAACTCAAAATTCGATAGCCACAGAAACTAGGCTAGGTTGGACAGTTATTGGCCAAACTAAATCACAGACCTGTTCTATGCCAAGAACACCTACGAGAGGGAGTCCTTTACAGCGCCCTGACTCAAGTGC